TCATTCACCAATGTACTAATCTTTCTCGGCGTCAATTATGTCGTTTCACAAGCTAAAAAAATTGTAGAAGAGGTGAAGAACTGAGTTTTCTCGCCAATGATAGCAAAATTTTTTTGCAAAGTTGTTTAAAAAAGCCGGAGGGTCGAAGAATTGTAATTTAACACTGAATAAAGGGAGAAGATCGAAAGTAAGCATTTCAAACCTGTCATTTTGGTGTTATTTTATTTGCTCTGTATTTCTAATCAACTCCCACGCGTTTACGTCGATTTCGGAAAATTATTGATGACTTAACATGCTTAACTTTAACTCAACGCTTTTCTTTCGCAATCAGTTTCGTGTCGCTTTGCACAGTTATCGTTGGATTAAGAAGTTTTTTACACCAATAAATTCAGTTCGAAACAGGTAAAAATTAGTGAAGTTTATTTCAATTTACACGACTTGACACAAGTCAGAAGAGGGATTAAATCTTCCTTTGACGAAGAATGCCTGTTTAATTAGAATTTATTTCTGTCAATGCATTCATAGCGGTGGGGCCGAGCTCAGTGGAAACCATCGGTTCCGTTCCTAAATTGTTTAGTCGAAAATGTAGAACATTCGGTTAGTTCTCCGTGGTTTTCCATAGCAATGACAACTTTGTCCTTGCCATAAACATTCAGCGACAGGTACTCTTGCAATCTCCCTTGAAGTTGTTGTATCAGCTTGTCACGCAACACAAAAGATTCTAAAGACTAGCAAGGGGGGAAGGAAAACATCCAAGCGTCACGTGTACTTTAAACAGAACTCTCAAGCGTCACGAATTTAAAAGGGAAAACTTCAAATCTCAGCTTGACCTGCCTTTCTGAAAAATTCACGCGTCGCGAATAGATTTTGGGCTTAATCACGTATCACGTATAAACAGTTTGCCAACCTCATTCTACCGACACAAAATATCAGACATTGATTTGCCTCAATTCTTGTTGGCGTGAACCATTTTAAGTTGGGATTCTTAAAAATTCGCTTAGACTTTAAAAGATCTCAAACAGGCTCAGGTCAAGTCCAAAACGGGATATTATAAAAAAAGTTAAGCATTTTAAATAGTTAAGACTTCTCTGACATTGTTACAATGCTAATTGTAACCAAAGATAGCGGTATTTGGGAGGAAAGCTTTGGGGAGCGAAAGTCATATTCTAACTATAGAAGATTTACCAATAAATTACCCTCCACCTCTTTCCGTCCTTCTCTGCTCGCTGTGGTTTAAGATAACTGACAGATGATAGAAAAATGAAGCGGAAATAATTTGCAATAATCTTCATTCTAGCGGAAATTTATTTTTAACAGGTTAGAACGTTTCATTTTATCGACGAAAGGTTTGTTTTGTAACTGCTGATTAATAGGGTTCCGCCCCAGGGTAAATACGAAGAGACACTGGGATTACTGATAATTCCATTACAGCCACCTTTGTCAAAAATAAAACAAAAGTAATTCAGAACAATACACTGAAAGAGAAAGCATGAATCAAATAAAGAACAGCATCAAAATACTGCATAAATAGACAGAACAAAAGATAAATGAAGCCGGCCCTTGTGCAATTGCCACACAAAAGATATTCATCAGAAATAACTCTTGTCTTTTAATGAACTTCATTTTGCCTGCGTTTTCAATGTTTATGTTGTTATTGCAAGAAGTCTTTAATTAGGTATTTTATGATAAAACACTCATAAAAACTCTATTTCACCTGATTACAAATATATTGAAAAGCTACGTAAATCATGAAGAGAAGATAGCCAGAAAGAAGAAGTTGAAGAGACTACTTAAATAAGATCTCAGCTCCCTTTGTGATGTCAAAACTATTTATCATTCTTAATCATCGAAAACAGAAACTAAATGGGCCTTCTGATGTAATCTAAAACGGACGTAATATTTCCAAGGGTACTGTTCCTCCCTTCTCACATCGACCTGGGAACGAGGATTTGCATTGAGCTTGATCCCAAGAAAGCAACTTATGGTATATAGCTAACCCAAATTTTCCAAGATTGTCAAATACAAACCGTGTTCAATCTTTTCCATCTCAAACTGACTTTTTTCTGGTTTATTCTTTCTAGCATATGATTTTTACTCTCCGGGAAACTAATATTTCCATATGTTCTAGCTTTTTCTAAAGTCTCGTATATTTAGTACCATTAGAGAAGTCATCTCAAAATGGCAATGGTTTTTTTTTTGTACAGTCCTCTAGAACACTCAAAATAACCACAGAATCGATGACCACGAACCTCATTTCACATCCCACTGATTTACTGGGCGAGTCGGCATTTTTTAAAATCAGGCTATGTATGGAAGGTAATGTAACTGACTCCAAAAGCTCTATTGACAATTACAGAGCGTTGGTTCATTTCCCTAACTTTGTCCTGCCTCAAGGAATTTCTGCGATTCTTCGAGACGTATTCCATTTGGAAGTAATCACTATTGAAGACCATATATAGAATACAGATAAGCTGAAAAGGAACCACCCTGGGAACTTAAGCGCGCATCAGCGACTCTACAAAACTAAAGAAGATAAAAAAGACATTCGCTCCCCTGTGGGTACATGTACCGTAAATCAGTTTAACAATAAGCCGTGCTCAAGCTAAGGTGACGGAGGGGGAATTTGTAAGGCCCAGTGAGTTATGCAAAGCAGTTTATAATCTCGAACATTGCAACCGGCGAGAGTAGAGAAACAAAAAAAAAATGCAGGTTCTACTTTTTCTGCTCACCCACAAAATCAAAGTCCTTGTTTTACTCGTTCATACTGACAAGGAACAGCGAGGGAGCCGTGTAGATGGCGACAAAATTGTGAAGCCTGTTATTGATACAATCGAAGCATGAACTTCGAGGTTCCAGATGTCGCCAGATAGGAAATGTCGGAAGGGGGTGCTGGCAGTGTTGTAAAGGTGACTGATGTGAGATCCTAAAATAACTGAGAAAATCTAGGGAGATTTAACACTGACCCTTACAACTCAGAGGTGCTTGTAAACCGAATTTGACATGCCGCGCAAATTGATATCTGGTTTCTCTAGCTAGCATATGACTGCAAAATACTGACTATTTTTGTCGCTGTACGAATCGAAGATCATACTCCAGAATCTATATTATTGATGGTTTACCGCTAGTTTCAAGTGTTTTGGGTATGGCAGTCAAGCTGTCAGCCCGTTTTCCGGCGATATTCGCTAGTGAACCACAGCTGAAATATTGGTCGACAAGCCTGAATAGGGCGCGGTAACTCACACGTCGACTTGTCAAAATACTCTAAGCTTATAGATATTACTCTTTGGGACACACAAGCTAATTTTCTCTAAGAGCCTTTTGAAATCAAGAGGTATGTTATTTTTTTTCCTGGATTAGCAAGCAAGTAGGCTCGGCAGTATTAATCTTCCTTCCCCCAACGCCTTTAAATTTCATAATGAGCACGCAAAAGTCTTCCTTAACTGCTCATCTTGAAGCAGTCTAAACTGAAATTAAATAAACGTTTTTCCTTTATTTTGGTTTCGGGTTAGGTTGAAATTCAAAATAAAACGTTAATTAATCTCTTTTTCAATTTCGAATTAGTCTAGATCACCCATACGGAATGGATTAAAAATTACTGTAATATTGTCAATCAATTTGATCTTTTTACCGCGTTTTTCGTTTTTCCTCACTATAACATCACAATGTAGAGCATATGCTTAAAGCAAGGCGAACTGGGGAACTGCTTTCTTTCCTAGATTTTCCGTTGCGGTTTGGCATGAAAAAGTCATAAGCGGACACATCGTCGCTAATTTACTATCAGGGCGTTGACGCATCACGGGTTAGACATTTATTTTCCGTTTAAGACTAGCGGTTTTTGCGGCCCATTCAGCCCCGGACCTTCAATATGCCAAAAATTTATCCCGCTTCCGTACAGTAAGGTAAAGTAAGGCTTTAGTGTCAATACGTGTGAATGCTGTAGTTTAATAAAGCTGTTATCAGACTCGATAAACTTGAGAACTTTCTTAAAGAAGCTTGAAGCTGTGAGCAAACTGTGTTTGTTCCGTTCCCTCGTATTGCTGTTTTGTAAAACAGTGAAAGTCAATTAAACTCGAAAAGAAAAAGTTTCGAACTAAAAACTGAAGTATGTTTTAAGATTAACATAAGACACGAAAATAGACTTTGTTCAATATCTGTGGTTATTTTAAAAAGTTTTTTTTCAGGATTTCTTGGGTATGGCATTGGATTTCCGTTCGAATAATTATTAATTAAGGTAACATGCTAAGAACAAACCAGAAAATATGACAACTTGTCGCTGATTGGCCACCAGGAAATATTCCGAGTCTTTCAGCGCGACCTAGTGACCTCAACATGTTTTGAAATATTCTGAAAATGAAATCGAGCTTGTAACAGGATAGCATGGGCCAAAAACCATTACGAAAAGTTATTTTAAACAATTTTCCTTCCGAAATAGTGAAAAATTTTCACCAATTCCAACTTTATCGATGATACTTTTAGTGTCTGAAGCCGATCGTTCGACCGTGAAGCGAACAAAGGGCAGGATTTCGGTATTGTTACGTAAAGGAAGGCAAGCGCTTTTTGAATAGCAATTATGAGTAATTACTACCGCGCCCTAGATATTGATGTGTTCCGAACCAGCGGGATACGGTTAAAAAAAAAAACTTCGTTGTTCTTTAACCAAGTCGTAAAATCGCATGTCCACAAATAAACATTATGCCCCTGTCGCTACGCTGTTCATTACTGCCGAATATGTAGAGCACTTTGGCCAACTCCGAGTGTATTATTACAGCATTTCGCAAGGCCTGTTATGATAATTTTTTAGCTTTCACTTAACCGGAAGCATTTGACAGGTGAGAGAACGGGTTACCCCTCCTTTTCTTTCAAGTCCTGATATGTTGCTATGGAAATCATGACGAAAGAGCGCCTCTCTCAGCGAGGAAGACTCTGATTGGATAGTTACGACATACCAACACATAAGTAGATAATGACTGTCAATCATCTCAACGCTAAATACAATGTGTTCATTTCACCGAATCAAATTGTTATGTTGGTGTGTGAAAGGAAAACATCAAATCACTTTCTCTAAGAGCGTAGCTTTAGCGAACCTCAAACGTTGAACCGAGTTTGAAATGCCTTCATTACTTTACGTGGACAGCCCAAGGAGTTATCGAAGAATTCAAGGGGAGAAGAAGAAATACATGGCCAAAGGCGCCACAATTTCATGGTTGTCAGACCAACTGAGCAATGGAGCAATCTTGTTACTTCTCGACTGCCGACCGTACGCCGAGTATGCTCAGTCCCATGTACAGGGCGCGATTAATTTAACTATTCCTTCCCTCATGCTACGAAGACTAAAGAAAGGCGCAAACTTCGCCATAAGTTCAATGATCACTTCGGAGGATGGCAAGGCTCAGTTTAACAGGAATCTTCGCCTGGCGTCGGGAATAGTTTTGTACGATTCGGAAACGAACGATGTGTCGAGCGTATGTTCAAACAGTGCCTTAGGAGTCTTGCTGAAGAAGTTTTCCGAAGATGTCAATACGCCAGTTTGGTTACTTGAAGGTAAGATTAAAGATTTGTATTTAATTTAACAATCGTACTTTTGTCCTCAAATTTAGTTGACTGGCGTGTTAACTAAATTTTCGACAGTCTGTCGCTTGCTCATTTGCTGATTCAAAAGGGGACACCATCAGAATTTTGTTTGTTTTTGAACTAATCTCGCCCGCATTTAATCTAATATACGCCACTCACTAATTACAACGATTTGTTCCGATGTTTTTCAGGTGGCTTTACGAAGTTTGAGAATAAGTATCCCAGTTTTTGCGTCGCTGGAGAACTCGTCGATAGACCACTGCTGTCTCTGTCAGGATTGACGATACAAGACACCGACATCAATGACCGCGCGTTGAAACTTGAACCAATTACACCACAAATCACTGATCACCAAGAGTCCACGACAAAAGTCCCTGTTCAGATCCTACCTCGTTTATACCTTGGCAGCGAAAAGGATTCTTCAGATTTGGAACTCTTAAAGAAATACGAAATTTCGTATATCTTAAACGTTACACACGACAAGCCGAACTCTTTCGAACATTTGCCTGATTTTAAATACAAGAAACTCCCAGTAGAAGACAACTGGAGAGCTAATCTATCCGACATGTTTCCAGAGGCATTTCAATTCATAGGTGAGTTTGTTAACACTAATATTTTTTTTCGCTCGAAGATTGATTAATGTTTTTTTTCGATGTAGTAGATTTGATGGATAAAAAATAGCGAGATATAGCAACCGTGGCATTGCGGGAAAGTTGTAATTCTTAGCGGCAAACGCCCCCCGTAGAAATAATTTGTTACTTTTTATACGTAACTGGAACAAATCTTTTGACTTTTTAGAGCAAGTGAGTTCGGTAATTCGAAAAAAGAGTCGTTTATTAATCAAGTGAGTGGGTGGTTATGGACTCGAGAAACGAGCGCTGGTGCATTCACTCGGCGTTTGTTTGTTTAATGCTGGTTGGTACATTGAAGAAAGCTACTACGTTGTCATCTGACGTAAATATCGCTCAGAATTGAACTAAAGTAATCATCTATACAGATACCCCTTGGGTAATCGCTAAAACATTTTTGGCTAGATTTTAGTCGCTTCTCTAATAAATTATCTTCGCTATACACTCGTGGTCCGCTTTGAATAGATTTTGCCGCTAAAGCAAGAATTTCTAATTTCCTTCTTCAGTGTAGCGTAACCACTATCCATTGCTTTATTGACTGGATATTGAATTTGCGGCTTAACTTAAGTTTTGATACCTGCACTCCTAATAATCAAAACTTGTTTTCTTCCTTTTTCCAGATGAGGGCATCACACAGAACCGTGGAGTTTTAATTCATTGTCTTGCCGGAGTCTCGCGTTCGGTGACTGTAACTATCGCCTACTTAATATCAGCCCTCAACATGACTTTAAATGAAGCTTACGACTTCGTGAAACAAAGAAAGCCGAGTGTTAATCCAAATTTGAACTTTATGGGACAACTACTGGAGTTTGAAAGGCAACTCAGAACACCTCAAACCCCAAGTTCCACGACGAGTACGCTCTCGAGCGACTGTAGTTTAGACGGCGAAGTCGAAGACTTGAGTTGAACGTTGTTCGTTGGAGCTGTCAAAAGGTTGAATTCAAATCAAGCTGATAGATTATAACAGAACTTAAGAATTATTCTCCGGAAACAAAAGGACGGCAAGCAATGATCTTTAATGAAAGAGTTACAATTAGCAGAGGTTATGCCGAGAAAGTTTAAAACTATTTCGTATCGGAGAGATATACAGTTACTTTAAGGATAGAGCGAACGAAATCGTTTTAAAGTTATTTAGAAATTGAAGTTATAGTTTTGTATAGCGCATTGAAACCATTTTGTGGTAGTTTGAATAATCTTGAGGGAACTTTGCATTGTATGCAATTAAACTGTAAGCACACTTTTGTGCTCATCGACTAGTTTCTACAGAGTTACACACTTCTTTAAACTTTGCCAGACACGTACTCCATTTAACACGTTTACGATCAATACCTCTACCATTAGTCTTCTCGCGCAGCCAATAACCTTCATAACTGACGATAATTCTATCGATAAAGGAATTTCTTTTATTAAAATTCATTGTATACTCCTACAGCATCAATTTTGATAAAGAAACCCTCTCCAATTCCAGATTTATAATTTATGTTCAGGAAGATTTGTAAATAGTTAAAAATATTGAATGATATTTGTGGGAAATTCCTTCAATTCATAGATTCCGGAGAAGTTGTATATATGTATTAGTTAGTTGGTTATTGTTAGATATACAGATTGTAAATATAATTATGAAATATCTCCTTAAATAAATGTAGAAAGTTCTCAAACTCAAAATGAAACGTGTTTTGTATCATTTATTTTTGTCAGAAGTTGCAACATGGCAGCGACTGAGAATCGTAGGGAAGGAAATATAATTTACTTTGTTCAACCTCTGTGGTAGCAAGCACGAAAATTTTGCCTCGAGCAGTTGTTGTGGTTGTTTTGTCAATAACTGTTACACAGTCGTAGTAGCCATTCACTCGTATGGTTTATTTTTAGCTTCTATACTCGGCGAATGAGTCGAGGTATGGTCTCATTCGGTCTCCAATCGACCCCAAGAGTTGATCTTTTCCACGATGTTCTAATTCCTTCTGCAAGATGGGAGGTTGAAAATGCTCCAAAGTTGAACTTCAAGCAGTGATTAATACGTGTGTTTCCGGTATTTTGTTAATAAGACTCCATTAAATATTGCAGCTAAAGTTTGTTTTCGTTAGTAAACTGGGAGGAGAAATCATCTTCTGTGACATGCTTAATCCGCATGATAGTTAGCAATTACCCTGAGAAGCCGTAGTTAAAACTTAAATTTTTCATCAGAGAAATTTTCAACCCATACATCTCGTGAGCAACATTCTGGCACTAATTAAAACTTGTAACCTTCAGGGCAAAAGTTGTCACAGGCTTCGATTTGAATTTCTCTTCTACGGGATGACAGAAGAGAAAAAAATCGAAGAAAGTAAGCTTGATTGGAAAGAAGAAGGATAAACAACGAGTTAGAGTTTTAATACACGCGAGATCCGGCTTGAGAGAAGTGGAATTTTAGCCTCACGCGTTTTGCCGGCAAGTTCAACAGCACGATTTCCGGTCTTCCAGACTTACTGGCGCCAACTGTATTTGCCTCTATTTTTAAGATGATTACGACGCATGCGCAATGCTGTTCTTCTGACTAGATAACTTGTATGTCGCGCGTTCGACCGAATAGAAGACTTCTCTCAGCCTTTGTTGACCGTCAATAATTCGTAATTTCATTTCATGATTCGAAGAAGTTGCTTTTTCGCCTGGTTCCTGAAAGACTGTTTTGTAGGCCTTCAAGCACAGATCGGTCGCGTAAATAAACCAAACGATTAATTATTCAAACGGAAGCGATCAGTTTTCAAATAGAACCCTCAAACTCGCGACGAAGCTAACACATTTAGCCACCTACCGGAATTAGGGGTCACCTTTCAGTCATAAGACACTGATGAAACAGTTTTGGCGTTCTTTTCATTGGGCTGGGGTAACGAAATCGACAAGTTGGGACACGAGTGCTTTGGCTAAGGGGGTCGTGCGTTTCCCTTGAGGGTAGAGAAGGAGAGGATAGCGTAGACTTTGCGAAAACTCAGACGATAAGTATCAAACATGTCCAGGACGTAGTAGTGAAGGAAGGAACCATTTTGTTTCTCAACACCTTCCGACGTGATCGTGTTTTTCCGCTTTCACTAGAGCTGAGCCATTTCCGAAAGACTGTCTGATGCAGCCATCCTTTTCAAACTACTGTGGGATGAAGCCCTGGGGAGATGTACTCAACAGAGTTTTATACAGGGGTGGGGGGGGGGGAGGGTTACCCTTGAGACTGAATCTCCCCTCTTTTCATTTGCAACTTCAGATACACTTTCGTATACATACCAATGAAAAATGGCACCCCCATGAATAACCTAGTTGGGAAGAACTTGATTAAAAGAGCTGTGATAGAATTCCCCTCCCTTTCGTACCTTTCCAACTCTTTGGTATACCTGATGACTGTAAGGGTACTTTGCACGGGTGACCCACCTACATATGAGATATCAAAAGGAATACCACTCCCCGGAGCCCAGGTGACTAGTTTAGCACAAATCATAAGGAAAGTTCCCCCCCCCCCCTTTCCTTTCATAATCCGCCCTCGCCCACGTCAACAGGACACTTTCCGCGTTTTTTTCATTGCCTCGATGGGAGTAAATAAGCCCGTGGGCGTTTGAAGTATTATGTTTTGATATGACTAAACCGGATTGTTGCGCAACCACGTCTTGATAAGCAAATTCAGCGAAGGTTTTCGTTTTAATTGGCACTACTGCTCAATGAATAAGTTGTTATTGCCAAGCCGGACTTTTTCTACGTGCTGAAACAACGCAAGCGTCGGAGCCTAAAACGGATAACGCGATATTTTTCATTCTAGCAGGAAGCTGTGCTAACTTTGAATTTCTCAATGGGATATTGCATATTGTAATTTTCAAAACAAATTATGACACAAAGCGAAAGTGCTGATGTGGGCAAAACTGTGCGCAATAAGGGAGAGAGAAGCGCCCACGGCCTTTCTTCTCATCGACCTTCTTTCTGATTTCTTTCATCGATTTCTTTACGCTCAAAAGAAAAAAATATCGAAATTTCAGTTAGATCTAAAAATAGGCGTAATGCAAGACCTTATCAAAGGCTCATGGTTTTACGTCACGCTTGAGCGAAGTAAACAAACCCATTTGAAATCTACCAGCGTAAAAACAAACGTCTGTAAGGAATAAGCTCTCTTTGTTTAAACGCTTCATTAATCATTTGATGAAGTTGTTTTAACGTATTATTTGCTTAGAACTCGTGACCTGTCGAATATTTTTATAACCAGTGTAGACATTCATGGGTTTCCGATCTCGTTTATGGTTTCAAGTGTTTTTTTACTTATTAACGAACTTATCACGCCGCATTTGATATCATTAAACTTTAATTTTACAGTATAAAGATTCCGTGGCTACTCATCCCTTTAAAGTCTTCCAAACATTCACATTAAACACTCATAATCTTGTATAGAACGAAACTTAATATTTCTTGCAAAGGTATAACACAGTTAATCAACATTCTCAATGCACTGGAAAGAAATTCAAGTTTAGAAAATTGTCTGTGTTGGCGAAGTTCACGTTTTGGAAAAGTTTCAAATTTAACATTCAACGGCTCAAGTATTTGATTCCGTTGATCAGATGAAACTCCGTCTGGGCCATAAATCTCAAGTGACTTCCACCTTCTAAATTTCCCACCTCCTCACGAATCATCGCGGCAGCTATTGCAGCAGCGTATTGAAGCGGGAAAAAAAGGGCCTCGAATAGAACATCAGTTTTTTGATCTACTTTAAAACCAACAGGAAAAAAAGGTTCAGGACCAAATGTGTTTGAATTCTATAACACGGCACAAAGAAAGATTGAACTTAGCTTGGTTAAAAGTATTCTGTAATCACGGACAAATTTAACGAGGAAAGATCCAAGTAAACAAGCTATTCTTTAGCTTAGAACGAGCATTTCCACCATAACATTCTATTTTGTCATCGCTGCGATAAGGTAGGGATGATGATTCAATGTTTGGCGGGGGTTGAAGGTCTCGTTGCCTAGCAATATCAGACCGGAAGGCCTTACCCGATCACACCGCCATATTTTTTTGGAAGAAGGTAGCGGTTACTAAGCTCGAAAACAATGAACCTGTAATACATCTCCGTAGCGAACCCAAACAATTTTACAAATAAGATGTTAGGCCGTTTCTGATATATGGTCTAGCATAGGGGCGATGAAAGTAAGAAAAGACCGTTAAATTCAGCTTGAAGTATAAGATCCTCTTGTATAGGAAATTAAATTATAAATGATGTAAAGCTAACACCAAGGTATTCAAAAGTTTTGCAGCTTGTGTCGGTGAAAAGAGGAGAAAAGACAATGATATTTGCTGGATTGTTCCTGACTGTTTCTGCTTGTTACTGTAGAGAAAGAAAAATACTATACATGACTGCTCCAGCTGTTTAGATGCAACGGAAAGAGCCTTTGGATAATCTAACAATAGTGTTATGATAAACAACAACAAAAAGCTTAAATCAACATGTATGCATGAGGTTAGGACAAGGTTCGTGCTGAGGGTACCGATGATATAAGCTTGGCGCGACTCGATGGTATTTCCTGAGTGCGATAATATAATTGGCTGAACCTAAATACAGAAGAGGACTCGTGTTAATATGTTTGTTTTAACGAAGGTATCATGACTTGTTTAGTTAAAACAGTTTTGATCATGAAGCTACTTTTAATTGAGAATGGTTATTTGAATATATCGTTCGGCTCATACTTGATAGTCAAAAGATGGTTCTTTCTGTTTTAAGCGCTTTTGCCCAGAGGTCATGAATCTGGAGGCCTTACACACACCCGCAAACAGAAGAAAATCAATTCTTCATTTGAGGATAAGCAGGTTTGCATCCAGCTTATCCGGTTTTTTGTTTTAACTTTTCTTAATTTCTCTCCCCTTCACCAGGATTTCGACTAAGCTGTTGCTTACAGCAAGTAAGTGACGCAGTTGAAATAATATGGCAGGAATTCCGGGCTTTATACATGAAGTATTTACGGAGCCCGGTAAAAGAGCCAAAAGCTTCTCAATATACGCTAAAAAAAATCAAACCAAGATTTGTTTTTGCTTTATGTTACGCTCAAACGTATATCTCAGCTAATCAATCTGAAAGAGCAAGTTTCTTTTCTATTTTATCTTGACTGACGCACGGTTTGTTGTTTACACACACTTCAAGCTGTATTTTTCCGTTTTCCTCGGGAGAAAAAAAGCTATTAACGCTTCATTCGCCTAGTAATGATATCAAGACACTGCTGGGAGACAAACATATTTTTATCTTAGGACGGAAAGAGTAAGTTTTTATCAATATCAACATCAGATCACCCACCACATTAGGAAAAGAGACAATTTTCCTGAATACTGAGTGAAATTGGCACCAATCGAGCTAATGAGAAAATTCTTAGAATCCTCTAGGTCCTTTTCCAAGCTAATTACACAGTAAACTCGACTATTTTCCTTTTCAGGTGCTAACATTCCTGTGATAATGTTTAATAAAAACCGGAAAGGTTCTAACTTAAGCCAGCATCAGTATTTAGTAATCAGTCCTTTATCTCAGAGAACAACATCACGTTTCAGTATCGACTCTATTGTATTTGCTGTCTGCATCGAGCAATAAAATCAAGTTGCAGGAAATTCCACCTTTTTCCGGTTCTTGATCTGTTGAACATAAAAACAATAAGCTGGATTGGTTTTAAAAGGCGAATCATGCAACTACGGTGCCCCGTGGAGAAAAACAAGCTATCAAAACGATCCAAATTAATACGGTTTGATTAGTAGTATTAAAAGAGATCTCCTAGTTTGGCTGATAACAAATTAGAATTTCTAAACACTTATGATATATGAAAATAATTGTTTCAATTTATACAACACAGAAGTTTATTTCTAAAAAAATCTGACCATCAACATAGTTTCATTTTGTCGTTATTTTGATGTGGTTACTTGTTTTACCTGTTAAACCAGTCAATCCTGAGAGCGGACCTAAATGCTTAGTGTGCGTGACACAGAGGACAAGAAGATTTCGTAAATGTACACTTTGTTTAGCAATTTCTAGGTTTTTTATCACTCTTTTCTTGCTTCAGTTTGTTGTTGATGTAGCAGTTTTGCAAGGCTTCCCACAATGGGTGGGCTGGGAAAACGTAACCGGTTTCCGTAGTACAGTTTCAATACCAAAAGCCACACATCCCTTTTTTAATATTGTCAACAAGTTTTCAACCTATGCCCTCTCTTTGTTACGTAGGTTGATGTTTACCTTAAATGTCACGTACAACTTCAGCAAAAATTAGAACAAGGCCGATATAACATATATTTAAAACCGCAAATTGACGACACATGGGTGCCAAACTAGATAACACGCTAGTTTTAAGCTAAAAATAATCATAATTAAAAAAATCTGGTGCTGTTTGTCTCATTAAACTTTAACTTTTTCTGCGTAAAATATCGATCATCTTTAGCCCCTTTTTAGATATCGTTTTAGTTCTCCGCCGCTTATGTTAATATTTCTTGAAAAAAATTCGACTACAAATGATTAGATTTCCAAGAGGAGTAGAAAAGCGGGTAAAAACCCTGTTTCAGAACAAATTTAAACTGGCTGAAATATATGATTTTGAACATCTTTTAAGACCTCCTTATATTGAAGCCTTGACTGCGTTCAGTGGAGAGTCCTTAAGGAGAGAGAGCCGGAGAGCTTCCATCTTGCCTTAACCTAAGTAGCTGAAAAAGTGTACCGACAGTTTTTCCAAAGTAAACGACTTAATTGTTTAAATTTTTTTCTAACTTAGAAGGGAACGAAGCACATGCCTAAGCGCAATTTTACATTCGAGAAGGCAGGAAAATTTTCTTTCGCGGAGAAAGTTGAATTTTTAATGAAAAGATAAGCATCTTGAACTGCAGTTTACGGAAACGGTTCAACAACATATGCCTTAGTTTATAAGTAGCATCAAGAGATAATATTAGAAAAATTGGTGCAAGTTTGTAAACGAAGCTCACAGTTCCTTCAAGAAAACGAGAGAAAATAAAGGTACCATCATATTTTATTAAAGCAAAATGATAAACGATTATTAAACAGAAATTAGTGTTTTTTGTCGTTTAAGTTAGACTCTTGACGCATTTAACAATGACATGTAATGTTCCTTGCATGGATTTTGGTTTGGCTGGTTGTAATAAGCGTTGGAAGGAGGGAAATGAAATCGCAAGGAGACTGGGATCCTAGCAGCATCTGCAAAACAGCCGAATTTAAATTATGAATAAAGGGGGTAAATTTCTAGAGAAACTGTGGTGCTGCGTCAGTGGGAGAGTATAAAGATTATATTATTTCGTGATAAAGTGCATTCCTAAAAGTTTGTGATTCTTAACAATGGAGTTACGATTAAGAGGTCTTGAGTGTGGGCATAAAAAAACGGATATGCTTCGCTTAAGTCGAAATACAAGGTATAAAGCAGTTTCGAGAATTCTACACCGTACGCAAATATCACCGTCTAAAATCTTTAGCAGCAATCTTAGACAAAATCTATATTCCTTTTGTGGTTTTCAAGTTGATTGCTGCACGTAAGGGTTGAGTTAAACGTTTTGGACTAATTTAGCTGTTGTTTCAGTTCAAATGATATATTGCCTTCGTACCAAGGAGGTTCGATCATTTAGTTCCTCTTTGTATGAGTTGGCCGTTAGCTAATCAAGGCTTGAGAGTTCGTATCAGTACAGCTGCAGATCGAAATTTTAATGTGGACATGGTAACCTTACCACGGTTTGTTCTTCATGAGTTTTAGGAAAAATTTAGCCATAATTTTTAAGATTATCATGAAGCAATCTGTTTTCTGAATGTTCCTCATCCTTAGTCACCTGATATTTTGTTGTCAATTGTGTTTTTACAGATTACCGAGCTAATATTTTGAAGTTTCCTTCCAGCTGAAGTAAATTTTGCAGAAACCCAAGTTGACTCGAAATACTCTGACTGGAACACGACAGTTTATTCTTCTCCAAATGGTTCATAGTAACCTGTCATTACTTATCTTGGGGGTGGGGGGGCTTACCCTGTTAGCAGCGACCAAGAGATCACTATAATCTCTTACGACGACTGATTTCCTCTCCGTCCCCCCTGAAAATCATTTAAGCTTCCCAAAATCCTCCACCCCTCCCCCCCCCCTCCCAAGGGTAAAATGATCTTTTATAACTTCACAAACAGCACGTGTAGAGCAACAATGTCACTGTTCGTTCTTTGGAGTGTCACAAAATGCTCCTTTGTACCTCGAAAAAAGTTGAGCTTCAAAAAAAATTCTAGGATATTCTTATGCCTCCCTTTTGCCAAAGAAGTCACGTATCGATTTGCTTGCGGTTGAAGAAGTTCCCGTGGGAGGATAGTAAAAAATTTTTGATAAGAGGATTGCGAGCAAATTAAGCACGCCCTCTCAATTGGGAAAAACATCAAATAAGCTTTGACAATATTATCCAATATACACAATCGTGATATCTATTCTTAGACTATTTCTGGGTTAGATGAGTGTCTTTATAAACTAGCAAGTAGATTTAAAACCAGACTCTCTATAATTTACTTTCCCGTATGAGCAGATTTATTTGACAGGCCAACATTGTTCCGGAAATGTTTAACAAATGGTAGAAAGGGAACACATTGAAATGATAATTGTGACGACTTGATCTAACCAAACCGGCGGAAATTAATTCGCTAAATTTAAGCTCAAAATCCAGTTGAGTGTTTTAATCGACACTAATCGTCTGTTTAGCCGTGCTGTTGAACTGTAATCGTTTTGTTTGGGTGCGCTGGTCAACTGTAATTGTGTTCTCCTGCTTTTTGACCAAAACCATGCTCCTTGTAAGAGTGAAAAAATATAAACCTTTACATTACATACATGCTGTTAAAGACTCTTTGATACAGGCACTATGACAACAGAACGTCACCCCTTTCCTCTAGTGATAAACACTAAGTGACGAAATCTTCCCGTTTTCAAACAGGATGTCACGTTCGAAGTAACTATTTTTCCCTGGGCAGAAATTTGCGGTTTCTCACTGCCAGTCATGGGCTTTTGCTGCTGACTTCAACCCCTCATATTAATCCTGTCGTAGACTAAGGTGCAAACAGGCACTATGACAACAGAACGTCACCCCTTCCCTCTAGTCATAAACACCAAGTGACGAAATTTTTCCGTCTTCAAACAGGATGTCTTGTTCGAAGTAACTATCTTTCCCTGTGTAGAAATTTTCGGTTTCTCACTGCCAGTCATGAGCTGCTGCCGCCACAGGCGGCCCAAGCTCACGTCTCGAGAAAAAGCCAACGATGAGTTCATGAACGCGTCACGCGTTGTGTGACTCTGTGTTAAGTTACGGGAGGAACCGTTGAAAATTTGAACACGTTATAAGGAATAGTATGGGGAACGAAATATGGTCGATTTACAACGATAAATATTTCGAAATATGAATATTTTACACGTAAAATCAATAAAACTTACTCATGCCCTGTGTATCCGTCGTAGTTTCTGGCGATTTCTGCCGTTTCAAGCTTGCTTTACCATCACTGTTATCCATGTCAAAAGACGAAGTGGATAACAGTGATGGTAAAGCAAGCTTGAAACGGCAGAAATCGCCAGAAACTACGACGGATACACAGGGCAACGGTTCCTCCCGTAACTTAACACCGAGTCGCACAACGCGTGACGCGTTCATGAATTCATCGTTGGCTTTTTCTCGAGACGTGAGCTTGGGCCGCCTGTGCTGCCGCTGACTTCAACCTTTCAAATTAATCTTGTCGCAAACTGAAGGTGCAACAAAAAAGAACAAAAAAAACAACAACAACAACAAGAAAACGAATCGCGATTACAACAAGTAGACCACACTCTTCATGAACCCTGTGAACTCCGGAACTGTATTCTGTTTTGCGTGTGGTTTAGGCGTTGCATGTTACGCTATCAAAAGAAACGTTGACAACTTTGATTACCGCAATGTTTTTGGCTCGTGTGGGTGTTCTCATGTGGGTCAATTTGGACCAAGTCCAAAAGATGGAGTGGGGGAAAAAGCACGGAAATAATTACCCTCCCTTGGAAAATGCCACGAACAAGGAAGCATCTTGATTGTATGATTCAAACGAGTCCGACGTGGGGTGACTCGCGATCGGTTTCTGATCGGTTCCTGAAATCTTGCCTCACTTTTTTTCCCTTTCTTAAAATTCTCATGTTCTTCTGAGAGAAGATTTCAAGACCTCTAAGGCTTCTCACATCTTCTTCGCCATGAAAAACATCGTCATTGGTTTACTACGTGTAAGAAAATTACACCTTTGACCTTAGTTGGCCGACCAGGAATTTCCTTTACTGCGCAGAATGTAAAATTCACTGATTACTACGTGCAGACTGTGTTTGATTCCTGACTGGGTTGGCATCGTAGCTCAAATCGTCACCCAAGCCCTTTTTTTTGTTGTGACCGTGATTTCGTGTTTTTGACAGACTGGGAACGAACTCCCCAGACTTCTTTTCGGCCGTGTGCCTCCTCTCTCTTCCTCTCCTTCTCCTCCTGAGAAAACTGTCTTGACTTGGTTGAACAATCCAGGTAATATCTTTGCCTCAATTAACCATCTTAACCTCCAATTGTTGACTTTTAGTGGCTCAGTGATTAAAGTGTTAAAGTGCCTTTGAACTAACCAATTTTTGGCAAAATTTGTAGGATTTTGGCGAGATTGTTCACGTCTTGATATGGCGAAGTCAAAGAATCACACCAACCACAATCAAGGTGAGTATTTAACCAGTGTAACTTGTGTTTCAGTTTATTTCAGCGAGTTGAAGTCTTTATGGCATATTTATTTCAATTTGATACACTTTGTTTACTCTTTTAGGCCACAAATGGCACAGAAATGGAATCAAAAAGCCCAAGAAGCAGCGATTTCCATCTTTGAAAGGGGTACGTTTACCGATGATTTTAAGTTGTTATTCTACAGAATGAAATAGTTTTACCTCTTTTTAAATACCTCTTTTTAATGTTAGTTTGTGCACGGTTATAACGCAAACTTCGAGTCCTGTAAAAGCTGTCGTTATTAGCGGAAAGTAGAACCCATAATTATGTGACTCGAAATTTGCGTTACATTGCGTGACCCAGTAAATACAGAAATCGTACGTATGTGCCCCTTTTTATGTGCAATTATTTACCTCGATCGATCCTTGAGTTCGATGGTCTTAAACGAAGATGTGTATTGAAAATTTTGATTTTAGTAATGAATGTAGAAGGATGGGTAGAGTGCTTATGATCTAAAGTAACTTGTGGACACGAGTGCTGTATTTTCGACATATATAGCATCAAGGACTTCCTGTCAATTTCCTGGTGTTGAAAAGTTGGTGGTCATTTATGCTGGTGAATTGCAATTATAAAAAGGAAATATAATTGTTTATCTTATGGTGTAGTCACTTCCAATCTGATATGCAAACTTTTGATAGCATACTGCAGTTTGATTAAGACAAGAAGCCTGACTGGTTACACGAAACCTCAAGGAACAGCCTAACTTGGAAGCTTGTATTGGCTCTGCAGGGTAATCCTTGACCCATACAAACTTTACATCCTCTTTGATTTAAGTTATAAAGATATCACTTTGAATAAAAGGCACTTACACCTACAAAATTGGCTGTGACTACACCACAAAAGGAATTTGTAAAGGAATGTCATGAGAGGAACAGTGTAAAGTGACTAAGGAATACTCTCCATGATTGGGCTATTGAAATTGAACTGGAGAATTCTGTGCAGTGATGGAATAATTTTATGATTTTTGAGAGTGTAGAGAGTGCACCATATTTGACTTGCTCATTCATAAACAGCATTGTGTTTGTGTGAAAAGAATTTGGATAGAAATGTAGATGTAACTGCATGGACAATTAAATATGGAAAATATGACCTACACTACTCAATCCTTTCACTCCCAAGATTGCACTAGTAATTCTCCTCACTGTCTGCCTTAAAATTCAGAGAATGTTAGTTTGGAGAATTTTGCATTGGATCAACAAATAATCCTCCAATTTACATTTTTCTTTAATCTCATCACTTGGTCACTCATGGGAGTTGCAGGGTTAATGAATCTCTAGAGCTATCCACTGCTTAACCCTAAATCCTAAGATCTGAGTGTTATTTCTCCCTTTTAGCTGCTACACGTTTCCTTGTAAATTAGTTGTGAGAATTTGGTGTTAGATCAGGATAACAACTTCTACCTGAAATGTTTGAGTACTCATGCCGGTTTGCTGAATAATGTGAAACTATTATAGGAAGAAGTTTTATGTTTATTATTTCTGGGAGTTAAGGGGTTTAGGTACATTCCCACCAAATACTAAGGGTTATTTAAGATTTCTCTGTGAAGGCACTTGTCTGACTTGACTTGTACACACTCATTGAAATGTGTAATCAGATGGCTGAGTTCTTCTTTCCCAAAATTGTTATAATAAATCAGTCCCCTCAAACAGTTTTAATAATGTTGTGCTTTCAGCTATAGAATTGTATTCATGTTTCTTTGTTTGTAATTAGTGAGTGAGCTATAAATATGTCACTTAATGGATTTATAATGTTCGGTCTGCAATGATATGAGTGATTGACAAAATCAGACAACTGCAAAGTGGGAGTTGGATTTGTTTATCATGAGTATGATTACAGACAGAAGTGGATGACAAAATCCTGTTACCAACAAATCACAACCATTACAATTTCCAAAAAAGCAAATACACTTAGAGCAAATATCCCCTGTGGCAACAATGTCTTTAGTTAAAAATTCCTCCATTTTGAAAATTGCCTAGTTTTTCTTTGGATAAGTGGTTGTTGCTATGGTTATTGTGATCAATTCTGTGATTGGTGGATTTAGCTGAGAGGACAGATTACACTGTCCAATTACAACTGTACAGAATGAGTGAAAAATGAAGCTGGGAAGGCACCAATAAGAATTGAAGAATTTGTAATGATTATGATTAAACTTGAAATCTTCACTCTCTGATGTAGGTGTCAAGACAATCTGAGCTAAACAACTACTAACAGTCCACACAAACACTTTTGAAATTCTGTGCTCTCAGCTATAAATTATTTCCTCATTTTATATTACATGTAATTATGAGTAGTGGTGAATGCTCCCTTGAATGGATTTTACTCTAAATTTTCACTTGTTAATGCATGCTCTGGAGCAAGAGTTAATTAAGAGTAAATTTTACCATCAAACTTGATATTTTCAGATACAGAGACTCTCTGAAAATATAATTGTTCATTACCCATATAATTCTCTGACAAAAAGTTTTTGAGGTTGTGTTCTTAGTCATACAAATAATTTACTTGTTTGGTTGGCAAAACATGACCATGATTAATTTCTTTTTTTGTCATCCTAGAGGCTAACTTTTGTTGGTCATATTTGCTTTTTGTTTTTAAGGTTGACCCGAAACTCCTGAGAAACTTGCGTTTTGCTAAGAAGCATAACAAGCGCCATGGCGGAAAAGCTGTGAATATGGAATCTTAAGCTTTTGTTTGTGGAATAAAAAAAGATGTAAATAACTCTTCCTGGTGTATTGTGTTTGGTGTGGGTCTTTTAGATGTCTTTGTACTTAACATCTACATATACAACCTAGTTGGTATTTCCTTCATGTAAATTTTGTTGCTTAACAAGGGTGAAAAGGTTTAAAATTAGTGAAATTCCCCTGAAAGTGCTGAACAGTAGCCCATGAGTTAAACCCTTAAACTCCCAGAAGTGATTAACAAGTAACTTCTCCCCATAACATCCATACATCGTCATATAGGTAACAAGAATACTTAAAACTTATCGGGTAGAAGTTATCTTATTCTCAAACTAATTTACAAGGATATTTTCTAGCAGCTAGGGGAGAAAATTAACAGTCAGTTCTTGGAAGTTAAGGTGGAGGGCAATTGATTTCCTTAACTCTCCTGTATCCAATGTACAGGTTGAAGTGGCACAGCTAAAGAGTTATGGCTACCCAGATCATACCCTTTCATTGTGCACCAAAGGAAAAGTTTAAGGTTAGTTCTTGGACTAAATGCAATTGATTTCATTAACTCTCCTGTATCCAATGTACAGGTTGAAGTGGCACAGCTGAAGAGTTATGGCTACCCAGATCATACCCTTTCATTGTGCACCAAAGGAAAAGTTTAGGACTGGACTAAATAGATACCTTGGTAGTTTGAGAGAAAAGAGACTACTATTATTAGATAGACAGGTAGACTTGATTCGCAGCTGCTAAAGAAATGGTTGAATTAATGAGCCACCCTTGGCTAAAGAATGGTACCATGAGAAGAATGGATGTGTAGAATGCAAATCAAGGGTGTATCCCCGATGAGAAGAATAAAAATTGCAGCAGTTCTTTTAAACCTTTCCACCCTTAGATCAGTATGCATATTCTCCATACTGTTCTTTATACATTTTCTATGGTGCTGGCAAGGAGAACTAAACACACGTCGGGAGCTTGTTTTGTCAGTGGCCTTTTCCTTTATACTGGTAACAGAATTAGGAGGTTGTCTCTCTCAGGGTAGATGGGTTAACACTTCACCTACCCACCTCAAGGAATGATAACGGGATCTTATCACTTTCTTTTGAAAAGATGTTTTTACCCGAGGATGAATATACCAATATCGATGTTGACATTATTTATAAGTCAAACCTTGCTAGTTTCCATCATTGAATTGTAAGGGCTAGGGCATCGTAATAAATTCGATTAGTTGCATGTCACGCTTGCAATGTGGCCTTAAGTCACTATATAATCCAGGAAAAGTGATCATTTAAAATAGCAAGTCAACTGACTGGTCTTAAAATGCTAGCAAGACACTGGCTGATCTATATTTCCACTGTGAACCGGATGTTGGCTGAGGAATAGCTTATAAGTTTTTCTATTTCTCCAAACCTTTCTTTCACGATCAAGGAAGTAGACACATTCTACTACATGCTTAACTTAAGCAGGGGCATCATACGATAAAATTCTGGTAAAACTCCCTCTGACCACAACCACTGCATGCTGCCGAGGCTTAACTGACCCTGCACTCATTGCGTGATTGATTCTTAGTGACTGTTGACTGCTGTATTTTCAGAAGTTTCTCCCAACCCTTGCACTAGGATTTGCTCTCGCATGAAAACTCTAAATAATTAATTTTCAATCTCAGTCACTGGTTTTTATACTTTGTTCCATTGCTCCTTTAGTAGCTTACGTTTTTATTATTTTCCTTTTTTTAACATGTCAAACAAAGACATGAAATATTAGTGTTGTCCCATACGCATCAACTATTTTGTCTTCACACTCTTCAGACAAAGTGCTCTTTCTTGGAGGAGAGAATTTGCCGTATGCCAAAAACCCAACAACAGCTGCAAAGAGCACTTTGTTGCCTTTGCTTTTACCTAATTTAATCATTTTACATCCAAAACATTGAATCTAAATGTAACTTTCTATCATTTTCACACTATTGAGGCCTAAACTGTGTAGGTTTGAATAATGAACACCAATACAGAAATTTTACTTTTTGAAGTCACACTGTCTATCGTCCTTCATAATAATACCCCATAGTTCAGTGACTAACGACGCTACAAACGACTTCCCTAACGTTCGCATTTAAATAAACTTTTTAGTGTTTCCTTTGATTGAGAGCTTGTGCACGTCGTCTGGACAGCAGTATTGGAACAGCAGCTGCCGCCAGTAATGTCATGCCCAGAATTGGTCGATGAGCTATCCAGCCAATTGCTATGGTAACCAGAGACAGTGAAGTAGCAAGACATAGGCACAAGAGCGTCAGGCCCAGGCCCACAAGTTCACGGACAACAGGCAACCAGGAGACTGGAAAAAAACAAAGAACAGAGTTCTTTATAACAGTGATGTAAGGTAAATGTTTTCCTCCAGTCATCTAGATTTTAAACGGAAGTGGTCACTTACTCAGTACAACAACAATACTGGTCATCATCTGAAATCCAAGGAACATCAGGACCCAGCCTACTCCTCTTAAAACCCATGTTAAAGCTGTGTTGGCGGACTGTTCGGCTTCAAAAATCTCCTACAAAGAAACAATCTGTCAGTCAATCTATCAATTTTAGCAAACGTTATACCGGCATTTACTGTATTTTTACACAGAATGTTTTCGCCACTGCTGATGTTACTGATCCTTACAGTATGGAGAATACTTGTTTCACATGAACCAAGAATGTAACCCGCCTCAACAAAAAGAGCAGACAGACGAAAAACAGCGCTTGTAAGGGAACGGCTGTTTTCATGCGCTTGTTTTTTTGCCTGCATCCTCTTAACGATTGCCTGAAACGGGCAGCACAATCCTTGAAATAAGTTGAGATATTTCTCAAGGGAAAGGAACAGGAAAGCAAGTCTTCTCGTTTAAAGGTACAAATTACGATTTCGCTATCATGTTGAGTGTTCAGGTAATATTTTATTATTGTCCGGTTTTAGGCCATAAAGAAACAAGGATATACTCAAATAAAGAGAATCCTCTGGACATAACAAAAAATTCTGTGCTGTTGGCTCACCTCAGCACTCATTTCTCCAGGATAAAGGAGCTCCAATGAATCGCCAGATCTTGTGTGATAATGTGATAATCTTCCACCTTGCTGTCGAGCTACAATACTAACCTGTCAAGAAATAACACTAACTGATAAGTCATTCCAAAAAAGGTAGAACTGTTTATAAAATTTCGGCATCAACAGAAACAAGGACTTGTGTAAAAGTTATGATACAAGGTGAGATGCAATTAGGATTTATAGCTCTGACAGGGAGGAGGTACTATTCACATGATGATAAGCTGATTTACGCTGGCCTAACGCTACTTATTGCACATGTGCATATTAAAAAGAAGAGTTATTAGAATGATACCTTCATTGGGTCTCCCAAACCTGAACCTGGCTTCCCACTAAGCCCAGCATAGGAAAACTGGACGCGCACATCTCCCACCTGTTGATAAAATACATTTAAAATTGTTCATAGGAACTCTCAGTGAATATTTGGACCTTGATTCAATACACGAATTATGTGATTTCTATATAACATAAAATTAGTCAAAGGCGTTAGCTGGAAAAATTGCTTCAGAAGGCCGTTTGTCAATGTGACCAGGCAGGACTTTCAATGCACGACACCTAAGGGAGGAAGAAACAGCGAAAGCTGTAGAATAACATGGAGAGGTTCAACTAAGGTTTGAGGAGCAACAGGAGGAACTAACACCCAGCAGTGAAGATCTAGAGTTGCCAAGAACAGGGGAAAATGGAAATCTGACAGACAGGATATGTTTTAGTGAGAATTAAAAAGGGATCGTAAGTCAAACGAATGGTTGCTTTTCACACGAATGTTGTAGCACTTTTTGGTGAAGACTGATCGGTCAGTTTTGCTGTCATGTTATTGGCTGACTCTAATAGCTGCTGCCGTCAGTTGTGATTAGCTACCCAAATGGCCCGCTCAGTTGTGATTGGTAAGTTCCAACAGTCTTATAGCCACTCACAACTATGCAATCACAAGACTTCACCACGAATCAACTTACTCTGGGATAAAATGGGTCCGTAGAATGATAAAACATCCCGTTATGGATATTCATCATCTTTCCTTGAGGAACTTCATGGGGACTCAATGGCTGGAAAGCATCTATTTTTCCAATAAGCCCTAACAAAACAAAGATAAAAAGCATGATACAGGTGTTGCTACCCTAATACAAAATCTTGCCTACTCCTGTGGACAGTAACTGATCTTCTTTCAAAATATACCTTTAGAAAGACTGAATACCCCAACTCTCACAGAGTCTGCCTCTTTAGTGTATGACTGTACTGGCATAGTGTTGGGATTCTGATGCCCAGCAGGGTTATCAAAACTATCACTTCTGACAATGATGTCTCTCCACTCGGTAGCTGCAAAAAGTCAAGACAAGAATAAATGTATAAAGGGGGTAAGCTTTTAAGGAAATTGTGGTGCTGCATTGTTGGGAAAGTATAACAAGATAATTTGGGTCTTATCAATTGAATTAATAATGTAAACTGGCCAATGTAAAGAGTTTGAAAATCTGATGAAACTATGTGAAACTATTTTCAGTGGCCAATTTAGATTATCAATCCTGTTGATAAAACTAAAATTATCTTGAAAGACAAAAATAAGCAGATATAAGACTTACATGTAACCATTGGGTCATGTCTCTCACAGACAGTTAAAGGTTTGTGTATTAATCCTTTCACTCCCCAGATCTCATTAGTAATTCTCCTCACTGTCTGCCAAACAATTCTCACTATGTTAGTTTGGAGAATTTGGTATCGGATCAATTAGTAATCCTATTATTGATATTTTTCCAGAACTCTCATCACTTGACTGCATGATATTGTATAGATATAGTAAGGAGAAATTCTATCTTGGTCATTCACGGGAGTTAACTATGCAACTTTGAGAGATACTATGTGCCTGACTCTAGTTTGAAAGGACCAGGGTCAAGCCAAGCTGATAAGGTTACTGTGCAGTGTTCTTAGGGAAAGACCCTATGGTTTCACACAAGTGAATTATCTTTATCCTAGGCATGGAGGGGTACTTGACAGGTGGTAATCCCAATTACTTGGAATTTACTCAAGAAAGACTAGGATACCATACATGCCATACATGAGGAGTGGAAATATTTTTAGTCACTTGATGCTATGTGATAAGCTTCAGCAGTCCATAACAGGCGACTTAGGATCACATTTTGGGTCAGGATTGTTAAAAAAAGTTATAATTTTTGTCAAAGACAAGCTGTTACTAATTATATTACAGTCAGACTAGAACATGTTTCACATAGATTCTTGCACATCTTCAGTCATGAGAATGTTCTCCTTCATAATTTCCTTGATCATTTATTTCAACAGATGTCCTAAATTTGAACCTGTAATATGTCATATTCCCTAAATTATTCAGAGAGAGTTGCTTTGCCTCTCTAGCAATCAATTGTTGGTTAAAAAATCTCTTTTTGCTATTATTTTTAACTTTTGGAATTAGAACACCACTTTCAACAAACTTACTGTACGAGAAGGTTGTTTCTACTCTTTTTCGTTCTCCTTCATCATATTCCCTGAAATTTCAGTGATACCTTGAAAACATTCTTATCAATATTTTACAACAATAAATATTATGTAGTACTATATGAATGGCAAATGAGACCCCCATCTTTAGGCCATCACATTTTGTTTATCCCTCATATGATTTAAGACAGAATTGGTTCAATTACCACAAATAAATTATTATACACTGTTCTCACAGTTTCATTATGTCTTTATTTATCGGCAAACTGGTAATGAGTTCAGCTGAAGCTTTTCACTTAATGGAACTCTATTGCCTCAAGTTAGTACACCACTGATACATTTTTTAACTGATTTACAAGGAAAAGAATAGCATGTACATGAAGAAGGAGGAATCAAAAAGAAGATCAGATCAGGAGAGTTCCAGGGTTGATTAATACCTGGTGTGTTTATGTTCCACCCATTGATACATTTCAACCTTTCGTCTTAGTTTGACAGCTTTGACTGCAATGCCATAGTCTGAATCACTCAGCGCCTGACCAGAATAGTAATTAAAAATGATATTAACTGGTAGTATGATTTATAATATTATGTTATGTATAAAATTATAGCATTTGGGATAATATATATTATAGCTATAATAAAAGATGATGAGAACTATAACAACGTCTTACAAAGTTATTATTCAATTTGCTAACATACGGCTTTGTAAAACACAAGAGGTTTGTCCAGCTACACCAGATAGGATAACCAAGTTGAAGATGTTGTTGCATGAAACTCACTTATTCTTCCCCTACCCACCCCTACTTAAGGTTGGTATACAAGATAATTTTTGACAACACTACCAAACAGTTAGGCAATGGATTGTAGGAAAATTTTTATTTCAAAGTTGTTTTTTTTCTTATATGGTTTTGATAACCATTCACCCCAATCCAGACCAAAAATGCATTTCTCCTTCAATACCAATACATTTTTAAGCACAAAGGTGACCAGAAGTAACACTTAAAACACTAAATTCTCAGATAAAAAAATAATTAATAGAAATGAACAGCAAACAGAATGGAGATTTAATAATCAGATCCTAGAAGTGAATCAGTTAAGCCATTTTGAAAAATCAGCCATATTAAGATCTCAGGGGTGTTTAAGTTGTCTTGCAACAGACAGACTCAAGGGAAGAAAAGATATTACTCTTACCCTGTCTGTTTGAAGACTTCCAGAGAGGTGAACCAGTTTATCCTGATATTCAGGACTAACTTGGTCAATGTAATGAATATGGACTACTTGCCTCAGACCCTCATCCAATGATAGAGCTGTTTGAACAGCCCTTCCCTGTCAAGTGAAGTGTAATCATTTCTTTTGTATTAAGAACATGTCTACAGTAAATTTGCAGGTTTTTACACCTTATTAACCCTTTACACCCTAGCATCAGTAAGCAAACTCTCCATACTATGCTCTATACATTTCCTAAGGTGCTGAAAAGGAGAATTTTTGATTAACAATCTATAGTTTCTTTAGTTAGTGATCATTTCCTTTATTCTCATAACCTAGATGTATGATTCCAGGATGATATTGTAAGGAGAAATTAGGTGCTAATCACTCTTAAGGGTTAAAGGGTTAAGCTCTTTTGTACTATCAGTCTTCGATTATTGTATTGATAATTTGAAAATGTACATTCACTTGTTCATAAGGCACTAGCAGAGTTACATCCACAACACTGGATGCAGAGGAAAAACAAAAACAAAATAATAAACAATAACTATTCCAGTAACTGTAATTTAGTACTTCTTTATTTCCTGTATTATATTAAAAATGGACTACTTATACTGCCCCTAAGAGCTTTCATCCTCACCTCATTCCAATAAAGTACAGGAAATGAAACAATAACAAGAAGAATTCCAAACAGAGATGCACAGAAGCTTTCCTGCACTTGCTTAAAAAATCCAGGGTTGTCTTTGTATGAAACCCTCACATGGCTGTCACTTGGCAAACTTCCTATGTTATGCATTCCTGGGGCACTGGGATTCTACAGGAAAAGGAGTATATGCATTATATCAAATACAAATGAATAAAGGGGGTAAATTTTTAAAGAAACTGTGGTGCTGCATTGAGCCCCCCTGTGAAACACACATGACTGAAATATATTCCCATTATTACCAACTCTTGTTCCTATGGAACTGCAGACACTTTCATGCCCTCCAGCCCAAGATTTCATTTGTTTTTTCTCTCGCTACAGCAAACACCTATAAAGTACTTTGATACTAGGATATAGGTAAATAAAGAAACCATTCTTCAATTAGGTGCTGCTGGATCTTTTTCCACTTCATGAGACCATGTTAGTAACTTTATGTTTGCATAGTTACATATTATCTCATATGTTTAGACAAAAAACAATTTCTTGTCTCTCATACCCCGTTATTAGGGACCCTTGCTCTTATGGACACTAAATCTCCCCCTGAGGGTGTCTGAAATAACGGGAGTCATTATTAACATGACAGTTTAGTTTTAACAACTGAATAATGATGTAAATTAGCCACCACAAAGAGTTTCCAAGAGTGTGCCCTTCATCTTTGACCTAGGATTAAATACTTGAAACACCAGCTTAGAAACTCTTTTAATCCTTTCACTCCCATGATCTCATTAGTAATTCTCCTTACTGTCTGCCATATAGTTCTTGCGATGTTAGTTTGGAGAATTTGGTATTGGATCAACTAATGATCCCCTAATCAATATTTTTCTTTATTCTTATCACTTATCTGCTTAATATTGTAAGGAGAAATTCTGTCTTGGTCACTCATGAGAGTTAAAGGGTTAAGGTGGCCAATTTAAATTGCACATTATCGACTCATTGAGTAAAATAGTTGAGTAGAGAAGTAACATAAATCTACAATTACTTATTTTCAATGACATAATGTCACTCCCCTTAGCCCTTTACACCCTAATATCAGTATGTATATCCTCCATACTGTTCTCTATACATTCCATAAGGTGCTGATAAGAGAATTTGTCTAAAAATGAAGAGCTTCTTTAGTTAATGAGCATTTCCTAATTTTTGTGACTTTGTATAGTTTTTGATTCAGGGGTGAAATAATAAGGAGAAATTATCTGCAAGTCACTCTGGGGGTCAAAGGTTTATATCACACACTCTTGATAATAAGTTATTCAAAAGGCGTGACGATTTCCATAAAATAAATAGGAGCACCTGTAAGATAAAGTATTCAAATAAATTCAACAATTTCAGGGCCTCATAGATAAGGGATAAAAACACACGTACCAAATCTTAATTTTAATTTGTTATTGAATTAAGCGTCAACAACAGATTAAAAATTAAGTAACTTTAAGTTGATATCCAATCGACTTTTTTTTTTGTTTGGTTTGTAAACGATGAGCAAACACGTAGACAAACGAATACGTAGATTTGAAAGCAAAACACTTCCGTCTGTCAAAACAATGGGCGAAACCATTCTAGGGTACAAAGACGGTTATAAATCAAAACTGGGAAAAGATCTGGCCTCATAAAGATCGTCTATAAAGTAACACACCTCCATGAACTTGGGAAGGACGAGAATTAGACCTGCAATGATGGTGTTACAATTTACAAGTAAAGCTTATTTACAGTGATAAATACGTTGATTTTGGTCATTTGTAATACCTTCTTTCACTGGGTTTATTAACCTAAAAATTTGAACATCAAACACTTACATGTGACCGATACATGATGATTTTCTGCTCCCTTAAATCTTCGAATCAGCGAAAATGAAAGAGGAAGTAAATAAATTAACAGGCGTTACACATTTTCCTCGAAGAGTCTGGGACAACTAGAATCCCAGTTTCCCGCGGACAAGTTAAGAATTCAACATTTTGCCTGCTTGGATCTGCACGGTCGGTGGGATATTTGCATTTCGGTACTACATTATCGTTCCAAGGTTAATTCTCTAGTTGTACAGAGCTATTCTTGTGATGACTGAAGAAGAATGGGAGGAAGAGGTACCTTAAGTTCTTTTTAACAATCTTTAAAGCTCAGGTATAGAAATAAAGGTTATGTCTTGAATACCTGAATCTTGTGTGTTTTAACTATAGGAACATCTTGTTGTAGTCAAGCTTCAAGGAGTGATAGATAATGAGTTCTTGTACAGCTGCGAGTCTTCAAACTGCCGACTCCTGGTGAGTGTTGACTGAACTTAACGATATCCCACTGTGGCCAATGCACTGTTAGAACTCAACATAGGACAACATTAGGTAAAATTTTCGCACAGCCCCATACTACTGTAAAACAGATCTGTTTTCCCAATGGCAATGTATTGTTTTGTCATTGTTTTCTCTATCCAAGAACTGAATGCATAATGTAGGATGGGGCTGTGTGGAAATTTTTCCCAACATTACTTGGAAGTCCTGTGTACATCCCTGCTAATGGTTAATGCTTGGCGCACAGTTCTGATGGCAACTCGTAATTCGTTTTTTATGGGTAGCTCATGGTACTTGGGGTTTAACCCTTTACAACCTAACATCAGTATGCATATTCTCCATGCTGTTATCTATGTATTTCCTAAGGTGCTGACAAGGAGAATTTATATCAAGAGCTTCCTTAGTTGTTGATCATTTCCTTTACTCTTATGACCATAATGTGTGATTCAGCAGTGATATGGTAGGGAGAATTTAGATACTAGTCACTCGTAAGGGTCAAAAGGTTATTAATTAAAATTTGTGCAAGACCTCATAAAGATCTACAATTTTTTATGCCAAGTGGCAATTGTTCAAATGTAATGCGTGATCATGACATTATCTGACATTTTCTGAAATTTGGTTCCTAGGGCATTGATACAGATGAACCTGTGTTACAAATTGGGAATTACACTTTTCTTGGAGAGTTTAAAGGTAGGACAATCTTTGTGTTTGTTTTAGCATAATCCCTCAAATTCTAGGTTAAAGAAAAATGGAAACTGAACCATCAACTCTGTGAACTGGTATCACAGAGGTCATGGGTTCAAATCCCGTACAAGTCTGAATTTTTTTAGGCCTTATTTTTACTACTACTTAAGTAGTGTTCATAACTATGAGGATCACTTCCATACTAATATTTGTACAATTCTCACCACTTGCATTTTTTTTCAGAATCCCTTGGAACACATGTATTGTTTGAGGAGCTTGGTAATGTTACATGGTCCTTTTAAGAGTAATTTTTATAATTAAATAACCACTGTATATACTTGCACATAACTTGATCCCAAGTACAAGCCAAGACCCTAAACTAATGAAAAATAAAATATAAACATTCGGTATTTAGAGTTAAAGCATGACTAACATTGTTTTAGCATCAGAAAGCTTGACTCTAACTCTTAACTCTCTCACTCTTAACCTCCTAACTCCCAAGATCTCATTGGTAATTCTTCTTACTGTCTGCCATTCAGTTCTTGTGATGTTCGTGTGGAGAATTTTTTATTGGATCCTCTTGTAATCCTTAAATTGATATTTTTTTTTGTTCTCATTACTTGTCTGCTTGATAATGTATTGATATTGTAAGGAAAAATTCTGCCTTGGTCACTCTTGGGAGTTAAAGGGTTAAGTGGTTAGCATGTCACTGATCCTTACATGCAAGGTCAACATATTATCAGCAAGATACAAAGTCAACATGTTCTCAGCAAGCAAGACTGAAATTTTGTCTTGATGAAAATACCAAATTCTCACAACCTATTTAAAAGGAAATGTATGTCAGCTAGAAGGGTGTATTTACCAATCAGATCTAGGGAGCCTAAGGCTAACAATGAATATATTTTTGTCTTCTTCATTTTTTTTTGTTTGAATTTTGAGTCTACATAAAGAGGTGACTATTTAAATAACTGTTTCCTGTCTTTTCATTTCCTAGAATCAAATGATAGCAGTGAATCAAAACAGTTAAAGTACAGATACAAGACTACTAAGACATTGGAAATGACGCGGGCATTTTTAGTTGAAAAAGGAGAGGAAAAAGAAAAGAAAAATGAACAGGTAATAACAGCTTGTTTGACAATAGAATATAAGCCTGTGTATGCCTTTGAGATGTAATTATTGTTAAAATATTAAGGATGATAATTTTTTTTGTAATGCGTTATTGCAAACATGGCTGTTAAATTTGTAGACTCCTGGTCCTTCAAGTGATGCACAGGGGCACCAAGAGCAAGAACATATTGAGGAATAAATTAGGTGAAGAGAAATAATTGACCATGCTGTGACTCAAGTTAAGGTTGTCACTGCTCAACTTTGACCTGATAGAGAAGCAGACATCGGTGCATGATTGGTTGGAAATCAGTGATCAATGGAGCAAGATGTGCATACATCTTTTATTGCTATCACTGAGACTTATTCTACATGTGCTACAACAATCTTACAACAGAACCTACATCCCACAGACTTGCTTACAGCTCGGTAAAGTCTCTCTTCTACAGAGATGTCTTGTTGAAGGAGAGATGTCTCCTAAATACAGAAGTCTTGAGGATAGTTGTAGAAGCATTATTTCCAGACTGGGCCACAATTTGTGTCCCTTGAATAAGTGTCCCAAAAGGGAGATTACAAATTAAATGTATTTGACATAGGCTCTCATACTCAAAGAAATTATTTTCCAAAACTTTTCATGTTAGAATGCCTCAAAGCACTTGAAATTATTTGAAAGTTGAATTTTAACATTTATATATGGTGCCTCAAAAAATAAATTTAGTTATTATTGGAACTCAAAAATTAAGTTATTACATTTAAATTCGTCATACATTAATATTCTTAACATATGTGTGTTAAGAAACACTCTAAGAAACCACCATTTGAAAAGCTTAGTCTTGGTTGAATTCTCTTTTGTTGTGGACAGATGTAGCTTTATTTGAAGTACACCAGTCCTGTGATTTCCATTTAACAAGCTGTCATTTTGGCTATGAACACACCACAAATAAAATCAATAAACTAAAATTTTCCTTGTTCAAATTGGTGCCATTTATATTAATTATGAATGTCTTTTAGTGTAGAGTGTGACTCCAGTTGATTGGGCTCTGTTGTAGAAGGTCCCTTTCCTCCAAATGTCTCTTCTCTGTGTTTCTCTTTTGTTGTTCTGCACGCAGTTCCATCAACTGAAGCAAAAAGAGCAACATAACTTTTAAAGGGATTAAAATATAATTGAGTTTCTAAAGAAATTTTGGTGCTGCTTCGGTGGGACAGAATAAGGTTTCAAGCGTTAGCCATTTGTCAGAGTAAATAGTGAAGGGCTAACACTTGAAACATCAGCTTTGAAACTCTTTATGATGGCCAATTTATGTTATGAACTCAGTTGATAATACTAAATTACCCTGGTAACACTTTGACCCCTAAGGGCAACTAGCATCTAATTTCTCCTTTCAATATCACCCCTGAATCACACAGTAAGGTCGAGAGAATCAAAAAAATCATCACCAACTAAAAGAAGTGATTGATTGTTAAACAAATTCTCCCTGTCAGCACCTTAGAAAATGTATAAAGAACAGTATGAAGAATATGCATACTGATGTTAGGGTGTAAAGGGTTAAAATGTAATCACTTTGCTCTTTAAGGGAGACACAGGCACCTAAAGATTGTTGCGCTAGACTCCAGGCCTTTGCTCTGATCTGGGAATGAAGTTGAGGCAGTTACGCAGGTTGGCCAACTACAAAAAAACTATCAAGGGGAAAATTAAATATGCTTACCCGCTTGTTTTCATTCCGGAACTGTTGCAGATATTTCTCTTTATTGATTCTTTCTTCCTTGTCCTGCTGTAAACAGATCCTGTCATAGTTTATAGCAAAGTCACTTTCCTTTATCCTTTCAGTCAGGTGTGTTTGGTGGGCCTCATCTTTTTCTTTCATTTGTTGCAACAGTGCTCTACGACTCTCTTGCCTAGAAATATTATGTTTAGAAGAAGTTATGAATGAATGAATGAATGAATGAATGAATGAAGAATAAGTCATTAAATTTTAATAACTCGCGATAAAGAAAGGCATGATTGAGGTTCAAAAGCCACCGCGGTGATATACTCGCAGGCGTTGTCGGGCTCACTCACGTTCAAAATTGTTGGACTTGTAACTAATCGGGAGCGCAATATTGAGGTATAATCATACTCTTTTCACTACGACCGTGGAACAATCCATTTGTTGTTCCTTTTAGAATTGTCGATCATTGAAGGGTTTTGATCTGCGCAATAGATTGTTCCAATCCCCCTTGAAATGCAACAGACACGATCAGCGCAGTAAAACTAAAAGAAATCCTCAAAAATTTCCGCTCTGCTGTTATTTTATTAAAATCTATGTATAACAGTAGCATTAGATAATAGGGAGAACCCCCAACATCAGGATCTTTGCACAGGAAGTTGTTACCAACATTAAACCAGACAACTGTTCTTTACAGGTGACGGAGGTTCATTAAAATTTACTGTTTGATTCGCTGCCACTTCAACAGGAGTGGTTAACAACATGTTTACAACCTTTAAAAAGTTAACTTGATTTTAATAACGACTTACTTGACTCTTTCTTTCTCCGCCGAATTTCCGTACATCGGCTTCGCGTATGCATCGTTGCGCAGTTTGTAAATCTCCCTTTTTCCGCGAAGTTTGTGTTCATGATTAACATGGTGCGGTTGAACTGTTTCAAGGCTCACTGTTCTTCGACATGTTTCAGGTTTAAGAGGATTTAAACGACTCATCGTACTAAACCCTCCTCTTTCCCTTTAAATAAAAAATTGAAGATTGAATAACAAAATTTCAAGCTCTCTTTTTGGAGACAGAGAGAAACATTCGAGCACATTGAGCCTCTGGAATCCGTTTCTATGACAATATGTCCGCTGCCCAGAAATTATTTCGGGCACCATCTATAATCCAACATGGCTGCTTCATAGGCAGAAGACCTTGAGTACATACGTGAATACCTTTGGATGAGAATACGCCATGGGAAACAGTGAATCAACAAAGAGATTGACTGTTGAGAGATCAGAAGAGGAAGGAACCCCAGGAATTGTTAAGGTAAGAAACAGTTTAAAGGTGACACAGGTGATTGCGAACTGGGTTTCATCAGCCTCGTTTCAATATTGCAGCGCCTTTCAATATTCTTGAGTATAGAGTAGTATATTCTAAAATGGTTCAAGATTTAATTTGCTTTCACGGATTTCTTTCTATGTAAGTAGCACACGTCTCTTTTGAAAAAACTCTTCAATTAAATTAGTGTCTCGAATATTGTCACCCACTATAAAAGTGCATCTGTTCAACAAGTTTGTAATGAGCTACATCCTCAACATGTGGCTCTTTCACTCGGTTTTATTCCCTTTCACTCCCCTATTTTAGTATTAAACTAAGCCTTATTGATGTTTTCAGTCTTCTCATAACCTCTCTGCATCACAGAAAATGTATAGATGATGTAAGGAGAAATTCCTTGTTGGTCACTTGCAGGAGTGAAAGGTTACTGTGCTCACATAGTATGCGGGCACAGGTACAATCCTTGTCAAAGTTTCAATTCTGCTTTCAAAATTTACTCTTTGCAATTGCTTTGATTGCAGCTAATTTTACCCCTGAGTGAAGTTCACCTATCACCTGATTTTGGCGATTGAAAAACAACCAGATTGAAAGTCGGATAAGTTTTGACATGCTCTGTGACATATTGAAATAAATCCATCTTTTGTGTTCACTAAACATGTAGATTTCTGAACGGGTCATGCGACGTCTCAGAGGAGAAATTGACTTACCCTTGAAAGGTGATGAGGATGTTACCCAAGGTAGGATATTTTTGTTTCACATCTCATCCAAGGAGGAAGATTTCAGTATTGAGAATGGATGCTGTAGTGACTGTGATGATTTAATCTTTAATTACTGGGCTTCCTGTGTAGTTTAGTGCCTGCAAACATGTCAGCAAAATTGTTAATCCGTACATGTCAGCTGACTTATTTTTGTTAGGCCACCATATTTATGTTGTACAGTATGTAAGCACGAGGTTTTGTTGAATAAAGCCTCGATTTTCCAAGGATCAAGCGTCTCTTTCATAACAGATGCCCTGTGTATACATTATGGTGTCTGTTAAGGATGACAATGGCTGGTGATAGCTGTTTAAAGTGAAGTCAATCTTCTAAAATACTCTGTGTTATATCATTCTGTATAATGTTGAACTTAATAGATGACATCAATACGATTTGGAAGGAATTGCAGCATGAGAAAGTCAGGATGAAACATCAGGAAGAACATTTACAAGAGATTTTGCAGAATGCTTTTGATGAGGTGAGTTGTATTACTGGGCAATTACTACAACCTTAAACATTATGGAAACATCATAATATCTCTCTACATATTAGGGCTCTATATATTGGGACTCTGTTGTGTAGGATCTGGAAGTTGATTGTGCTCACCAAAAGGTACATATCTTGGATCAATATCAGTATCTGGGCAACTGCCCACCTACCCCTCCCCTAACCCAACATTAACCCTAACTTGTCATCAATTGACTGTTGTTGAGTTAGGGGAGGGGTAGGTGGGCAGTTGCCCAGATACTGATATTGATCCCATATCTTTATGTGTTGAATAATATGTAAATTGTAATTACAGTTTTTTTGTTTTTGTTTTTTTTGTTTTCAGGGAAGACAGGTTGAAGCTAAAAGGCTTAGAGAAAACAGAGGTAAATTAGGAGACAAAGATGTACAAGAGATTGACAACCATTGGAGAAAACTGTTAGAGGAGAAAGAAGCTGAGTCAAAAACAAAAGAAAATAGGCTTTTGGAAAAACTTGGTACTTTGGAGAAACAGGTAATGGTGGTAGAAATTTCATTTTTACAAGCTCTAGTGTCCTCTTTCAAAGTGGTACAAAAGTGAACTACCAGTAATGTTATAAACTTAAGAAACTTTGAAAAAACCCTCCTTAAAGACATAACTTCAAAAAATAACTTTCTTTGCTAGTTTTGACATAAAAATTAAAACATGCAGTTATCTTATTGATGTTAGATTTCAGAAAAGGAAGAAGTGACATTAGAAAACTTTAATCAAGCTGTAGAAGAGACAAAACAAAAATTCAGGTATGTATTTGTGAAGTGATTAGTATGTTTCACAAGAAATGCCACTAAAACTGACATGAACTCTCACATGATTGGCTATTTAGTTTTAAAGTTGATCTTACCATTTGTGCTGGGTGAGTCAATTGTGTTTTAGTCAAGTTATATCCAACTTGATTCTTTTTTTTCAATCACAGTGTACCAACAAAGGTCATAGCTTGCCAACACCTGAAGAATGAGGTACTTAATTGCTACAAACAGAATCCCAATCAGGCATTGAAGTGTTCACAGAAAGTTAGAGATTTCATCAACTGCGTGGAACAATCTCAGTTAGTAAGTGTGTGATAAATCCTCTATTCTTTCAAAATTCAAGTGTACATCATTCTTATCATCAATCCTCTCTTGTGCCCCTGGGATGTAAGGTTATGACCAGAGACTAACACTGCCTCTTTTCTTTAGCTTCTCTGTTGCAATCCTTACCTGTGTAGGCAAAATTTTCAAGAGACAAATCTTTCTGATTACCAGTACTTATAGTTGGACATTTGTCAATTGGTGGATTGTCCACTTAGGGTTTATATTCCTATGATCTAGACTTTTTGTTAGTTAGCAAGGATTTGGCTTCGAAAAGGGATGTGGTATGTGTCTCTGTGTGTTCCTTTTGCCAGTTGGTAACTTGGAGAATATGTTACTTTGTGTTAAACTCTTTCTGTTTTGTTTTTTGGATGACGTAAATTGTAAATGCACCTTATGTGCATGAATTATTATCATTATTTTTGTTATTCTCTTTTAATGTGATGCTATTGTAAGGGCTTGTGATTCATATATTCACAAACAAATATATATAGATTATTTTTTAATTTAGTTTTACACATACACTTTTATAAATAAAGTTATTATTATCACAGGAAAATACTCAATGAAGGAAACCAGTAGCCATAGCACCACATGATGCAAAGCCTTGCTTTGAATGAGTGGCTGTGTCAACTATACAAGAGAACACTACCTCAAAGAAATATTTCAACATAAAATAAAGAAGGATCAACCTTTAATATGCTTTCTGAGTTGAAAAAGACTCAACTGACAGTGCATAGTGTTGAAGAACAAAACACTCAAAGTTTATTTTGCATGTGTTAAGATTTCAAAATAAGATTGTGTTTTTGGTATTTTGTGCAATAAGAGAAGAATAAATGGTCTGGTTAGTTTTAAACTGAGTTTAATTAGACATTTATAAAATGTTAGAGATCAGTGCCCCAGTTTCCAGCCTAGGCAGGGAAATCAATCTGCTCCAATAGCATAGCCCAGGATTTTTTTTCCTTTTTAACTCGTGAATTGCGCGCATGCGCAAGAGCGAGTTATAGATACGATGTGGGGAATGGAATTCGCTCGCTCGCTCGCTCGATTGGTCGATTCCTGTAAACTTTTTTTTAGATTTTAGGCTTTTGAGTGCATTTTATAGTTTTTGGCGAGCAATAAACAGACGAAATGGCGACCTTTTTTGCTAAGAATAGTGGTGGGGTGAAAAAGAAGCCAATGATAATCTTAAAAGAGTTTTTTTTTTCGTTTTAGTTTCAACAGGCGGCGCCAGCGACTGGCAGGCATGCAAGGATTCACACTGAAATAACAGAACAACTTTCGTTTTTCATAAAATTGTAATTTACAATCCTTGAACTTGAAAACAATCCGAAGATTCATTGAAAATATCACTTAAAGCTTTTTCTGTTATAGCGTGAGATTGAGGACAAAATTGATCATTACGTTTCGTCGCGTGTGTTTTTCCTGTGTGAAGCAACAAAAGATGCCGGCGACTGACGAAATAACAAGTTAACACGAAAATCAGATAACACCTAAACAAACAATTTTAGCTACCGATTTCAGTGAATTTTTAAAGAAAAATTTTCTTTTAAGTTTTTAAGACAATTTGAAGATTCAACATACATACAACGTACTAAAATGCGAAAGTTACACACACGAAATTGATAACTAGGCCTGAAATGAAATTCTATCTTGTTATTGATCATACGTTGCCTAGCACGTGACTTAAATCTACCCAGGCGGAGATCCAAAATGACGGTGGCAGGCTTGGCTTAATTATATCACTCAAAACTCGTTCCCGTTTGTCTCATTTGATAAAGAGGGAATCGTTAATGTTTTCATTAAGACAGTATTGCCTTTATTTTCTTATATTTACAACGAAAGACAGTAAATTTCACTTTTCACCCACATTTACTTCCAACCTTTTCTTTTGAACCAGAAACAAAAATGATAGACGTTTAAAACACATGACATCATCCACCTTGTCAAATGTAATAGCATGATCATTTCAATTGTAATGCCTTCTTATCCCAACGTTACTTTGTTTCTTTGCTACATTAGCGAACACTGAACTACTGCTCGTACTCTAGATATGACAATCAACCACAAAATTCCCTCAACCAGATAACATTATACATAATCTAAAAAATCATGTGTCAATTCACGAGTTTGCTCACAGAGCACTTTGATTTTTTTTGGAGGGGGGGGGGCAGTGGAAGGGTGGTATTCCTAATGATTGGGTGCTCTTTGATAAAAGGATACCAGAATCTTGCTTTATAGGCGTGACCCATTTCCCTCTAACCTCCAATAAGAACAAACAGGAAAGAATAAACTACATGCAATTGACACAGACAACGTTTTTAGTAGTCAATAGTGAGGAAGACGTCTATTCTATTCCTTCTTAAAATTTTTTGCTTGGAAGTCTACCATATTTAGACAACCTATTCTAAGTAATATAAATTCAGAAAAAAAAAGCATTTGCGTGACAAATGTGGCAATGGTTCTCATGAATTTTTTGAGATGGGAAACCTATAGCCTATCCTAGGCGTTCACCTTGTAAGACGGAACGAAACAGTCAACGGCGCCGTTTACTATCGAGCTTCGTCGTACTTACTGAAATTGAACATGCTAGAAAACGTAATTGAACTCCGTAAAGATACTTTGACAACTTCTGAAGTTGCCAGTTTAACTTCTATCACCTTCAGCGTTAGCAGTCAGCTATATCTTACCCCTCTAAGGAACGACGAACATTCCAGATATTTCTAAAGGAAAGCCTTTATTCAACCCTTCGAAACGGGGCCTAAAAGAGCTATCATATACAGAGTGATACTGGGCTTTCGTATTTTGCAGATAATAGCATATACGATTCAGGCTGAAAATTGCAATACGTATTGATCTTGTCCGTTTTTAACCATCCTCTGCCCATCTTTTTTTTTTAATGACTCTTTTTTGTCTTTCTCCGGGCAAACTATTTTAACCCTAAAACTCCAAAGATCTCGTCCATAATTCTCCCTCCTAGCTTCTTCAGATTTCCTTGTAATTTAGTTGAGAGAATTTGGAGTTAGATTAAGGTAACATCTTCTACCTGATAAGTTTGAGTATTCTCATAACCTGTTTGCCGGATAATGTATGGATATTATTGGGAGAAGTTTCATTTTCATCACTTATGGGAGTTAAGGGTTAAGACTATTGGCTTTCCTCCAAGTTGTGACGAATATCTGAAAAGAAGTGAAAGCTTGGTAATAATGAATAGATCGTCCCGCATGACAATTGTTTGTGTTTATCCTCTTTTCTTTTTATTACTGAGTTTTTTTAATTAAAATTATAGATGCAAGAGCAATAATCGTGGAAAAAGCCAATAAGTCCCTTGCCCCACTCCCCACGGTTTATCATTTGTCGCGGCGAAGTGGCATCCCGTGCACGCTTTTTCCCGCCAAAACTGAAACTTGTCCAGGCGCAAAACAAATTTTGTTACAAATACAAACTGAACTACGGTAGTTTTTTCTGTGCTTCTTTCCGCTCTATAATCTCAAATAGCCATCATGAGAAGGAAACCGTGCACTTGCCTTCCTTAGAAATCTAACTGCTCGTTATTATACCAAGGTAAGATATTGTTTCAAACTTGAATTCAATTTTTAATTATCCGCATCTCGGAAGTCGTTTGCCGAAGTTGTGTCTGAGTGCAATGGTTTGTGTCCGATATTAACATGATATTTGTACTTTGTCTTTCAGGGGATATGTTAAAAGGAAAATAAAGTTTACGCAGCTCGGTCCACCTTGACCCATGGAACTACCACAGAATTCTCAAGCTCGACATATCAAACAAGGCTTTGTGTAAGTATTTTACTTCAAGTAACAAATTACGTTCGCATCTTTTTCTCGCAGTTTAAGAATTTTTTCCTATAAACTCCTTTTCAAACGTTTTTATATGGAGGTTACATGTTCTAACCTTTCGATGTTCATCTTCATCGATATATATCATGCATGCATAGATGAAATAGTTACCTTTGTAATTAATCGAAATTAGCGTTATTTAAACTTGTTTTTCATGCATTAAATTGCGGTAGGAAACGCCTAAATAATCTGTGCTGGACTTTCGTATTACCTGTAAATGACTGATGATAGAGGTGAAATATTCCCAGGCTAAAGTTAAAAAAAAAACAATTAGTCCTTCAGCAGAATTTTTGCAGTCACAGTTGTTAATATTCATCAGACCAAGAAAGCCTTTTGTCCTTCCCAGGTTTATGTTTATGACTGTGAATGGCTTCCAAAACTCAAACTTACCTAAACACTTAATGGCTCTCCCGTTATTTACTCTATCAAAATATCAAGCTCTGTGTGTTTGGAAAATGGAACAAATTAACCCTTACTATAACCATGTACACTTATTTGGATGGTTGAGAATCCAATCACTCTTTGTTTACTTGGTAAATAATCTACCTGGTATGTTGGTAGAACATACGGAAATAATCGATTGTAAGTCACAGCAGCTCGAAGCAAAAGGGACTGTTTTACAAACTTTTTGGGTGCATTAGTGGAAAGAGTGCGGTCTACTGCTTTTAAAAATTAAAAAATAATGTTCTCTTCTATATTTCATTTATTTGTTCATTCACTTTTTTGGACGAAGCAGGAGTTCTTTTGACAGTATTCACTGATGTCGAAAGAGTTCTATTTTGTAATGTTTTAATTCATTTTGACAGTTTTTCTCGGCCGTGTCTCTGGTTAAAATTAAACAAGGAAACGAAAACGAAATCAAATTAAGCCATGACTCGGAAAGTTTTATGTTCAACCGACATGTAGGAAAACAGACATGCTGTTTTTGTGAGAAAACAGGAAAGATCAATAGCGGAAACGCAGTCTGTATAAAAACTGTAAGACAGCTGCTTAGTGGAAAGATTTTTGTAACATTTGTCTTACAGGCCTCCTTTTAAAGCAACACGTCGAACTGTCCAAATACCACCTCCATCCCCGCCAATGTTAGACGACATACAGTCACAAATGTCCCAAAACGATCTCTCTTCCACACAACTTTTCCGTTCAAACGCCGACTATTTCAACAACAGGAGATTTAAAACTTCGTCCCACCCTGTTGACTCATCATCGTTTGTTACACAAGCATCAACTCCAAACAGCTTTGCTAGCCAATGGAACCAGAAAGAAAGCGAGTGGTTTGTAAGCAGCTCGCAGCGCACCCAATCCAGGTATTTACAACCATCGTTGTTATACGATGAAGAAGAAGCTGATTATGCGCATGAAGTAGTGGCACAAGATTCACCAGAGCTCTTTACTCAACACAGTGACTTTCATTTACGTGGTGCTCCGTTCAATGCGTCTGAACTGGACATGGAAGATTCAGAAGGTACAATAGCTCTCTTATGTTGTGCTCTTAAGATGTCGTACAACAGGCAAAGGCTCTTAGGCTTTCCTGAATTAGTGCTACTACATTGTATTGCATGGTGTTAAAATATTTCGAGAAGTAATATTAATATAAGAAGTAAAAAAAATTGGTCTTTTTTACCCATGATTTCTGAACCTTTGTGTCCTGTTAGTCCCGAAGATGACTTGCTAAAGAACACTTTTGATGTTTGGTTACAGGTTTTACGATATTACCAAAACGCAAAATTGGGCTCAGAATCACCTGTAGTTCACTTATTTGGAAAACTGAAGCATGTAGTAACCTTAACTGATCAGGTTTGAAAACTAACACTCAAACAAATATTATTTTCCCAGCATTTTAAGCTTAATGCTAGATGAATCTTGATCAGGAATGAGTGCACACATAGCAACGTTTTTCGAATAAACCATATCAAGTTTCATTTTTTCTTAAATTATTTTTTGTCAGGTTTTGCTTTTCAAGATGATGTCCCTGAAAAAGAAAATAATCAAAGCTTTTATTTGGCCTCAGTCCCACGGCATAACTTTGACACTCCAGCTCAACTTTTTATACCAGGTGAAACGCCATGTTTTTTGTTACTCTTGTCTTAGTGTGTTGTTGAATGTTGTCATATATAATGGCTTTAGAAATTCAGACAATTTTGCAAATTAATAGATGTCAAACACAGGTCTACACTATTGGCATAGCTTTCAGAGGTGTGTTTTCTACCGAGAGCCACGCATTACTCACGCGTGACGGGAGTACATTGCACCTGCCTTCACTTGCCTGAAAAACGTGAAAACGACAAAAACAGGACTTGGTCTGTAGGCTTCGATCTCGGTGGATCAATAGTGACAGACGCATTAGTAGTTTAATTTCAATAAATATTTATCTCACCTTGTCTTTTATCTTAAGCAAACTTGTTATTTATCTGCTCCTTAGACTATGGAGATCAACCTGAGAACCCGAATGCAGGGATAGGGCTTCGCTCTGTCAATGAGATACGTATCCTCTCTAAAAATAGGAACACTTTCAATAGTTAAGTAAGAAAACAATTTTCAACGAGTTAAACTTACAATGATGAGATCAGAATAGCGTTTATTATACTGCTCGCAGGTAAATGTAAACGGTCGGAATACTAGAGTCGGTACCAGAGGAAAGAGAATCGCGGTTTGTTTCGAAAGAAAGTTTCGTAGTTGAAAATGATCGATCTTTCCGATGGAAAACTTTAAAAGAATATCCCAGTCCGCTTAAACTTCGGATAAAAGGTTTATCTTGGTAACTCATAACATAAATTGATATTATCCAGTTGAAGTTCTGAAAAGTATATATGTTGAGCATCTGTAGATTTCCTTGATCATACAAAGCCAACCCATTTCGTTCAGTATTTAGCAAATTTCCCTACTTTAACATCGTGCAGTCAAAAGTATTTGACGAGGTAAGCCTTGCTCTAACATTGCGGTAATTAACATGAGAGTCTTTTCGTGGGAAATCTGATAGGGAGGAGAAATGATGTATAAGAGCTACAAAGAGGGGCCAGGCCATGAACTCAGCGAAGAGCCTCCTTATAGTCATATTAAAGTGATGCCAATATGTGAGATGAATGGTAACAACTGATATTGATTTGAATGAACATTCTCAAAGATTCCAATCTACTCTTCTTGCAGCTACAACTACAGCTACAGCTAACACGATCGCATAATTTTCCCTTGTTTCTTCTCCTTTTCTTCTCTCCTTCTCAATTTCTTGTTTTTTTATTCTTTTGTTTGTTTTCGATACTGGAGGCATAGTGTCATTATCATTGTTGCCTTGATGGGCATTCTGTGTTGCACCACTTGTACCTGTCATCAAGGTAAAAGGTAGTTTTTGATGTATCAGAAGCAATGCTTGAATCATAACAATCGGAGCTTGTCAATCTATTTGTAGTGGAAGTCTGTTAAAGTAGTATATGTAGGTAAGGATGCTACTGCCTGTGTCGTTTCACTAAGTTCTGAAGCTTTACCTTTTAATAACAGGTGATGTACACCGATAGACCACTTGTGGTGTGCGCTCCAACAGGTTCTGGAAAAACAGTAATTTTTGAGCTTGCTGTTATTCGTCTTCTTATGAACTGTGAGGGAGGACTAAGTACAGCTAAAGTAGTTTATAGTAAGTGTCTATGTAGATACAACAATAAAATCTCAAAGAGCTGATAATGTAGCTTTATAAGGCTTGTCTTCTGGCCTTTCACTAAATAAATTCAACATGAATTTGAAACGATTGCGTTCGTAAATAGAGGATGATGCAGTCACGGCGTAAGCGTTGCTAACTGCATCACGTTTCTTATATTATTTCCAACGTCATTTTCGTGTTAATTTTTTAACGCTCAGTTAAGATATAAATTAAGTCTTTCCGCCTGATTTTCCTCATGCACAGTGGCCCCTATGAAGGCATTATGCAGTGAACGTTTCACTGACTGGTCGACTAAATTTGGACCGTTTGGCTTAAGATGCAAAGAAGTAACAGGCGATAGTGAGTTGGATGACCTTTATGAACTGCAGAGCGTCCATGTGATAATGACCACTCCTGTAAGTCCAACGATCGATCGTACTATAAGCATACATGGACATTGTTCGCCTGAAGAACCAGTTAACCAGTCATTTGTTTACTGAGTCAAAACGTCAGTAGGTAGTTGAGTCAATCAGCGAATCACTGTAAAGAGTTTCTGAAGCTGGCATTTCGAGCGTTAGCCCATCGTCAGAGCGACTAGAAGGGGGCTTTGGAAAATCTTTACGGTGGTCAGTTTACATTATCAACTCAGTTGATAAAACCAATTATCTTAAATACCCCCACTGACGTAGTACTGTAGTTTCTTTAGAAACTTACCCCCTTTCGGTAGTCAGTAGTTCAGTTCGTGTGTCAGCCAGTCAGTAAGTTATTAGTTAGTTTTTCGATAACTTAGCCGGCCAGTCACTCAGTCAGTTGGTCTGTCAGCCAGTCAGTCAGTTATCAGTCAGCCAGTCAGTCAGTTATCAGTTAGTCATTCGATCATTCAGCAGGCTAGCCATTCAGTGCGTTGATTTGTCAGCCACTCAGTCAGTTATCAGTTAGTTATTCGATCATTCAGTCAGGTAAAGACTCAGCATCATTGAAGTCTTTTTTTTCCCTTTCGATCAACAGGAAAAATGGGACAGCATGACAAGAAAGTGGAGAGACAACAGATCCCTCGTGCAGTCAGTCAAGCTTTTTCTCATTGATGAGGTACCTGACTTTGAACTGCAACAGGGTTATGACTGGACGCAATGAACGCGCAAATCCTATTGATCCAACATGATTAACATAATTTGTTTGATAGTAACAGAATTATTCATTACTTTATATCTAACTTCGAGAAAGGCTTGAACTTATAACTTAATCCTTGAGTAATCTTTTTTGGGGCTTTATCGAGTTAAAACTTGAGAAAATTCAAAATAGGAAGCAATTTTCTATCCATACTCCCTAATATTTTAGGTTCATCTTATTAACGATGACGCAAGAGGAGCCACTGTTGAAGCTGTCATCAGCCGTATGAAGACCGTTCAATCCACTATGACCCGCTGCAGCACTTCAGGAAATACCAGCAGTCTTGGTAGAGCGGGCATGCGACTTTTGGCCATCTCAGCTACCATACCAAACGTGGAAGATGTAAGTTTCCTCAGTAAGGTCACTGGCCAAAATAGTTACTTTTAGGTCTCTTCACAGCCGAGGGCTTGATTTGGGAGAGAAACATGAATCGATCTGAAGGAAAAACTTAACACAGGCAGATCACTCCCTAAACAGAGGTAATCATGCTGTAAAGTAATTCTTCGATGGAAAAAAGCTTCGACCATTGTTGTTTCCAGATAGATTTGGAAAATGACTGCTTTTTCGGGGAAATTTAGAGCTGACCTACGCTTCCCTGTGGGGTAAAATATAAGGTTAAATGTTTATATTTCTTTTTAAAACAGATTTCAGCCTGGCTTGGAGGTATTGACTCTCCTGCATCTCACTACAGGTAAGAAATAATTGTCCTAAATTTTTTTACTTCTAGCATTCTTCGTACACAAGTATTGCGAAATGAGAGTTTTGTTCTAAAAACTTTCTATAAGAAGTAAAATAAAACAAAGAAAAAGGTATACAGGAGGGGAGATTGTATTCAATTCCATCCCTTCTCGGCCCCTTCCAATGGGACTCTAGGACTGGATGGAAAGCATATCACAAATATTATGGCGAAAGCCTTATTTCTCCTCCCTTTCCACCCCTTTCCCCACCTCTACCTAACCAAGGCATTCTCGTTTAGACTGATCTAAAAGCTCTGATCTCATTGAATACCTTCTTTTGCAGTATGGACGATTCACACCGACCAGTGAAACTACGTAAAGTTGTTCTTGGTTTTCCTAAGGGGAATAATTTCTCTGACTTCCGATTTGACTTGTCTCTGAATTATAAGTTGAGTGGCATCATTCAAACTTACTCAGATCGGAAACCTACTCTTGTGGTGAGCAAAATATACCGGATGGTTACAAATAAAAAGGTTGAGGTTTATCTTGTTTAAGGAAGGAGTTATTCGTGATAATGCACAAATATGTTTAATGGCATGTATTCCTGCGTTGAAAAAATAATATTGCGGTTTATTCTAAACTAGTTTTGTTCAACACGCAAGAGTACTCAGCAAGCAGCACAGACGCTTATGAAAGACGCACGCTTTATCATGAACTCAGAGCACAGACAAAGGTAAACCGATTGAATTGTAATTGTTAGGACTGTAGAGTTTGACCTGTTCCGTTTAGCAATTAGCTGCATAACTTAAGGAGAAATGTATCAAAAAGTAAATGTGGCTATTTGTAATAGATCGCGAGTTAAACAACACTCGTTTATCATAAAGTCACTAACACCACAATTAGCCTTACATGTAACAGTGTCAAAGCCATGTTACATTTACGTCAGTGAAACAGTTATGTTACGACCCATTGAAGGATCTACTACAACATTAATTATCTTATAGGCTTCAGAGGATTGCTAACTCTCTTCATGATTCTAAACTGAGAGGTGAGTGACATGCATTGAGCGAAACACTTTGCTTGTGGTGAAAAGCCAATGAACAGGGGGTGAAGTTATTTTCAACAAAGCGGGGTAGAAACTTAATCAGTGAATTTGTGATTTTAATTAGTTTTCACACTATGTATCCGTGGTAAGAAAACACCTCGATGTCAGTCCTAAAGTTATTGTCTCATAAGACTATTTTGAGTACTTGGACAATTTAATCGTGGTCTTGGTAGTGTCTTTTGTCTTTTTTTTCACATACGACTTTACTTTGCAGAGTTAGTGATGTGTGGGATTGGGTACCACCATGCAGGACTCGATCCCACGGATCGAAGGAACATTGAAACAATGTTCATCAAAGGCGACTTGCCTGTACTTTGTAAGTATACACGGAGACTATCGGGTAGTCTTTGACCCTGAATAATTTTTACTCATTCTTGCCTATCCATGTAGTAAACAAGGAGTTTGTCTCATATGAACCAAGTATACATCTTAGCTCATCAATCGGAGTTCTCTTAAAAGAGCTTAGTTTGTTGACCATCAGCCCGCACGATCGGAAATTCTCTGGCTCAAAGAAACTCTGACTTCATGTTGGTCCCCTACTCTAGCCAAATGTTTCACTTATTTCTTCCTTTACTTAGTGAAGAAGTTGTTACCTGAGTATTATAGTACTTTTGCTTTCCTTATTTTTTCAGTTGCAACTAGTACTCTGGCTGTAGGAGTAAGTTTTGTTTCTTTGTGTCTTTTTTATCGATTTCCCAATAAAAATACGATAGCATCTATAACATTTCATAGAGTGGATCTTCAGAAGAAACCCATCTTTATTTGTCACTAGAAAAAGTAATATTCGTCAAAGATTAATTTGAACAAGAGTTTCATTGTCAGGTAAATCTTCCCGCTCATCTGGTCATCATCAAGTCAACATCTCACTACGTCATGGGCGTGTTTCAAGAGTACTCAGAAACACAAATACTTCAGATGATTGGAAGGGCAGGAAGACCACAGGTATTTTCACCGATACTAAACGTAGCAAGACTGTCATTTGTGGGAAAATCCTAAACATTCGTGAAACATGGCTGACTTCACCGTTGGCGTTTTGTTTGTTTGATTATTGCAAGGGTTTAATCATTTACCTGATAGGAAATGTTTACATCTCACAAACCAGTCTCATTGAATACGAATTTTCTTTTTCTTAGTTTGATTCCTTCGCCACTGCAGTCATTTTGACAACAATTGCAAACAAGGTATGTTATACTGTGAAAGCTTTGTACGTTCCTCTCTCATTGAGGATTTTAATTTTACATATGAATCCAAATCAGAGCCGGAGGTCCTTTCCTCATTTTAAAGCTGTTAAGATTTCACAAATACCCTAACAAATAAGTAAGACTCTCAACAATCCACGATTTATAATTGCCCGTATCTCCATACGGGCCGAGAAAGGGCATCTTATGTGGCATAGTTTTAAGAGAGGAAACAGATTATCCTCTCTTGGCAGAAATTAAAACTTAAGTACGATTATGTGCGTTAACCTTAGTGAAAGAAACTGTGCAGTCTACCTTTTTTTTTATCATCCTTATTATTTCCTTAACTTGCAAGATTTTGAACTCCTTATTTCTGCCTTGTGAGTCATTCGTTAAGGAAACAGGTTCAATTAACGAGGATGAACCGTGGTTTGTTGCAGGGGGTTTTTGAAATAATTTTTGTCTCAGTCGCTCCAAAGGCAGAGAAGTGTAGACCACCAACTTCATTTCAGCGAAAACTGTTGCGAAAGCAATTTACTCGAGGAAAAAAAGAAACAAGACAACTGAATCTAATGTTTCCGATCATTTTAATAACATATTTCTTTCAAATTCACAATTGACGTACGTGAAAGCATTACAAGCGATTGCAAAGAGCGCATACGACTTCCACATTCATAAATATCTTTAACAACACTTTTTCATATATATATATAAAAAAAAGGAAATCAGTCTTAGAAGAAAAATGCTGGCACCTCGCGTCATGTAAATCACCTGTTAGTAAAAGAACAATAACAAGAATAGGTAGTGAAAACCTTGAAAATAATGCGTATCACGGTTCAAGATTCTGTCTTTAAACCAAGGCTATCAATACCTCAACAATTCCAAGGCATAGTCGACTACTTCCTCCGTATGGATAAGTTTTAATGTATCACCCGACGCGCGTAGGGCAATCAGTTACTGCAGCCTAGGCTGCATGAGATTTTGTACAGCTCAATCAGAAGAGGGCGTAGCTTGTTGCACTTTCGCTCTTAATTCTGCAAAGGGTCTCTTGTTTCTACATCTCCTGGGAGCTGATCGTGAAGTCTTAAGAATGATAACGCAACGAAGAATTATTTTAAGATGAACATTCAAATGAATATTTATACAAACCTGCTGGGTCTGGTTCAGCACTTTGCATGGTGATCAAGGATTCACAGTTTCTGATGGATTAGTATCATATGAACGAGACTGCTCCACATAGGGTACTTGATAGGATTAGATGAGAAACTCTATGTAAGTGTCAAGTGTAATAACACTAAATTTCGAAACCACTAATTGTAGCTACAATGACATAATAATCTAAATTCCTAAGATTATGAATACCCCATACGCAGACTATGCCTAATCATTTGATTTCTCAAAATGTAATTTTATTTACTCAAATAGTTGGCGTCCAAAGATTACTTAAACGGATAGAGAGACTATTTTCCTGACATACACGCTTATAGAGAGTAGAAAAGATTAGGTTGCTTATCAACGAACGCTCTAGGTATCTCATGCTTGGGTGTTAAGAGGAACTAGAATGTAAGTTACAAACCTGTTGGGTATGGTGATAATTGTTGGACTTGTATCGGGCCAGATCCAATGTAGTTATGAGGAAACGGATTCTGTTCCGCAGGTATCCAAAATCCTTGATCCATGTCAGGCATGTTGTTATTTGCCCATTTGTTTGGTCTAACGTTCATAGTTAACGGAGTTTTCCAGGTGTTGGAAGAAGAGGGCAGTGGACATGGTGCTACTCCTGGTATAGTCCCCACAGGATTAACAGCACTTGGATTCTGTTCTGCAGAAATGTTCATCGGTGGGGGTGTTGGCCAATTGTTGGGGAGAAAAAGCCTTGACTGTGGTGCTTCTCCTGGAAACGGCCCCACAAGATTACTAGGATCTCGATTCTGTTTCGTAGGGACACCCCTTCCGTGGTCTGTATAAGCCATGTTGGTTGGCCATGCGTTGGGCACAAGGTTCTTCGGTGTGGGAGTTGGCCAATTGTTGGGAAGAAAAGGCCTTGGCCATGGTGCTACTCCTGGAAACGGCCCTACATGTCTTATAGGATGTGGATTCTGTCTAGTAGAGAAATTGTTTCCTCGGTCTGTGTAGGCCATATTCGTATTTGGCCATGCGTTGGGCGCAATGTTAATCGGTGGCTGAGTTTGACGAAAGTGAGAGGCAGGAAAAAGTACCCTTGGTGTTTCCATCCTGCAGTGTCTCCCTATAAAAGAGAAAAAAATATATTATCTATTTATTATGATGGCAACCGGTATCACGTATACGTTGCTCGACTTTGTATTTAACTGCTCTCCATCTCCTTACATTCCGTTGAATCGTGTTGCACTGACTCAGTTTTGTTAAGGGGTATGCATAGACATGTGTTGTATTGCCATACCCTCGTATTCCGTTGTGTTATAACTGTAGTAAATTGCGACCTGATGCAGCACTCTCCTGGGTAGCTTTGTTGGCTCTCTGGCGTTCTTTTTAAAAGATTTCGCCGTTCCTGGTTGAGAGTTATTTGTTCTGTTGCATTCAATTTGTGCAGTCCTCTGCACTACGTTTTGGCCTAGTAGCCTGTGTTGCGTTGAATGAGCAAGTTGCATTATGCTGTATTCACCCCGGTAAAAATCTTATATCGTAATGAAGCGAGAAAAGTCACGTAATAACAGTTACGTGGCATTACTTCGCACGCTGCTGAGTTATATTGAATAATACATTTGTGTTGTGTCCCTCCCATCTGAGCTGGGTGGCGTTTTGTTGCATTCCTCTGCATCGTGCTGCGCTTAAAAGTTCTCCGTTGCGCTGAGTCACCGAGTTCCATTAAGCTGAATTTTACCCTAGACTGTATGGATACTTAAGAAGCCATATATATAAACAATGAGATTCACTAAACGTTAGTGTGTATGATCTTAGTCTGTACTCTTACTTGATCTCTCCTACTTACCTGGTGGGCCGGGACAGATCCTTGGCGGGAGATAACTTGGTTTGGGATGGCTCCACGGAGGTGCCTCCAACCCATGCATTTGTGGAGGACCGCATGAACGCATTCGCCGCCGCTCTTGGGCTATCGGCTTGTCGTAACGTCTGCCCATCGATGCTTTTTTCTTGGGTTGCATCTCTTTATTTGGATAAAAATTCTGTAGATAAATTATGCCACAGGAAGCCTGTTAACATAAATTCCTCGTCAATCACATCTAGAATTAGGTTATTTAAAGGAATTTTGAACCTTTTTTTTTTAGGAAGACTGCTTTAGTATCAATAAAACATTTTAGGCTCTGGGTAGAGCTTGTGGAAGATAACGATATTCGTTTTCTATAGTTAGATAAAGAAATGACTAGCTCCAAAAGAAGAAGAGGTTAATTTCAAAAGATTCACACAATCTGCTGAAAAAAAAATTCTAGACCTTAGTTGCTGGTCGAAATTCTCTTGCTAGAGGGTTCAATGTAGTCCCGTTGACACCACTGTGAAAGTAAACAAAACGAAGAGTATGTTAAGTTGAATCGTGACTTTGTAATCAAGTATTTTGAAAGACAGAACTATTCTCGACACCCTTCTCCGCTGTACTCTTACCCTCCAACCTAAAACTCAATCACCGTCTAACATCTCCGTTAATTTTTCAGAACATAATCTGAGTAAGGATTGTTTGCCACTAAGCATTTGCAGGTCCTACTCCTTGAACAGACCAGCTACACAGTATAATCAGTGAAAATTTCGGCCGTGAAATCTCTTACCTTTCAGAACTGGTGTGCGCAATATATTCACCGTGGCTGTTATGTTGGGAAACACCAGAGTTCTGCGTCAAAATTAAAAAAAAAAAAAAAAAACCATTAAATGACTATAATTAAGTAATTTGATCCTAAGTTGTTGTTTTTCCATTATTCTGTCAAATCTCACGTATTAGATTGTTTCCTAAAAAAGCAAAAATTTATTGCCTGAAAAACGAATGGAGGCCTTATCTACCTTTCTAGAAAAATAGCAAATTGTCAAACTTGATAAAACGTCTTTCATGTCACCTATAGGAGGCTCAATTTTTTCTTCAGAGAAGTGAGAAAATGTTTAACTCAATAATACCTCTTTCTTGCGACCTGTAACTTGCCTCAATTCAGGTTTACAACCACTGTTATTACCTTTTTCAGACGAACGAATTCATGGGTTGGTACTCGTTCAGCTGTCTTTCTGCTGCACTCTGCATCTTTTTCGTTCCCTCTTTCGGGGTCACACACGTGAACCACCTGTGTAGAACGTGGAAACAAACGTGTCATGGTGACTTTTTGCATAACAAACTTTGTCTTCTAATTTGAATTATGGATCTCTTACTCAAGAACGAAATGGAGGCTTAATTCACCCTTTGAGAAAAGTAAGAAAATGTGAACTTAACGATACCTCTTTCCTGTAATCTGTATCCCTGCTCGACACAGGTTCAAAACCATTGTTATCAATTTTTTCCTCACGAGAGCAATCGGGGAATGGTGCCTGTTCAGCTATCTCTTTGCTGCACTCCGCATCTTTCTCGTTCCCCATTTTGGAGTCATGCACCTGAACCACCTGTGTGGAACGTGGAAAAAATGTGTCATGTTGATCTGTCCCAAACCAAACATTGTCTTCCAATTTGAATTATGGATCCCTTACTTAAGAACGAAATGTAGATTCAATTTATCCTTTTAAAAAAGAAGGAAAATGTGAAACTTCTTAATACCTCTCTCCTGTCGCATGTATCTCGACTGAATTCAGGTTTACACCCACTGTTAGTTGCCTTTTGTGCAAGAGCGGACTCAGGAGACTGTACTCGTTCAGCCTTCTCTCTGCTGCACTCTGTATCTTTCTCATTTTCTCTTTCGGGATCTTGCTCCAGAGCCACCTGTGTGGAACATGGAAACAAGTGTGTCGTAGTGATTTTTCTCTTAACAAATGTTGTCTTCCAATATGAATTATGGATCCCTTACTTCAGAACGAAATGGAGGCTCAATTATCCCTGTAGCAATATAGGAAAACGTTAAACTTAATGATATCTCTTTCCTGTCATCTGTATCCCATGTCAACTCAGGTTCACAACCTTTGTTATTTACTTTTTCAAAAAGTTAACAACAGTGGTTGTGAACCTGCGTGCATTCGGGGTATGGTACTCGTTCAGCTTAACCACCTGTGCGGAAGTGGAAACAAACGTCTCATAGTGATCTGTCCCACGTCAAACATTGTCTTCCAATTTGAATTATGTATCCTTCTGCTAAGAATGAAAAGTAGGCCCAATCTACCCTTTTAAAAAAGAAGATAACGTTAAACCTGGTAATACCTCTTTCTTATCACATGTATCCCGGCTAAACTCAGGTTCACAACCATTGCTATTGACGTTTTCCACACGAGTGCACTCTGGGGTTGGTACTCTTTCAGCCTTCTCCCCGCACTCTGCATCTTTCTCGTTTCCTCTTTCGGTATCTTGCACCTGAACCGCCTGTGTCGAATGTGGAAACAAACGTGTGGTAATGATTTTCCCCATGGATCCCTTACTTCAGAACGAAATGGATGCTCAATTTACCGTTTTAGAAAGACCGAAATGTTAAACTTGATAATACCTCTTTCCTGTCATCTATATCCCGGTTCAACTTAGGTTTACAACCACTTTTATCAGTGTCTTCCCCTCGGGCCCCTTCGGGGAATGGCACTCGTTCAGCCATCACTTTGCTGCACCCTACATCTTTCTCGTTCTCTCTTTCGGGGTTATGCCCCTGGACCACCTGTGTTAAACGTAGAAAACAAACGTGTTGTAGTGATGTTTACTATAACAAACATTGTCTACCAATCTGGACATGGATCCTTACTTCAGAATGGAATGGAGGATTCATTTAATTATTCAGAAAATTAGGAAAATATTAAACTTAATAACACCTCTTTCCTGTCAACTTTATCCCAACTCAACTTAGGATTACACCCATTGATATTTTTCTGGATCGATCGATCGCCCTATCTGTCAGACTAGTTGTCTGAAAGTGTGTATTTGGCTTCAATTTCTAAGTATCCATGTAAAGAGTACTAGTGTTGTGCACTTAATTTGATTTTTGGTCTAATGTGAAGAAAAAAGGGGGTTTTAGGTGGCTCTCGCACTGCCAGGGTCGGTGGTGATTTTGGTGCTCCTTTTCGAAAACTCTGATAATACTAAATTGAGATAAATTGTATACCTTTTCTACTACGTCGCTTAAAGCATCCGTGTCATCACTTCCGATGAAACCCTTCATGATTTCACTGACGGCGAATAACGCCTGCCACAGTGTGACGAAAGGCATAGTCGCAAGTAGTGAGAAAGGTTGAGAAAAGTTTGAATGTGTCTTTGTTAAGTGACGTCACAGAGGTAATTGATGCTGCGCGTGCGGTTTTCTAATCGTTAATTGGTGAAATTAGCTGGCTTTTTTCGTCACTGAAACTGTTACTAAGTTAACCAAAAAAATTAGCCGATTGCATGAAAATAAACAATAACTGGAACTTCAGTCTATATTACGCGCCCTTTATTAAGCGGTTACTGATTAAATTCCCCTAATTCACGTCCCATATGTCCTGTAATTAAATCTCTGTAATCTCCTCATCTCTATCAAGTGGATTCCGACATCCTTTCTTCTTCCTAAGTTTTACAATTATTTTGCTATGCATGTCTTTGAAACGGTGACCTTTAAAAATAACAAATTAATTTAATAGATTCAAAACCACCGGGCTATCACATCTTACGCGGCTATGGTAGATTTGATTTGATTGAGCAACTTTCATTCGAAATCCTTTACTTCTCTTTGATGCTATAATTTATTTTGCAGGAAAAGTATACCGGCCTTCTTGAAGGCACTCAGAAATTGGAGAGCAGGTCTGTTTCGCATGTGAAGCTTACTAAATGTTTCGATTTGCTTTAGCTCTTTTGTTGTGCAGAAAGAAAAGAAGTCTTAAACGCGCGCACAGAATACTTACCTTATTTACAATAGACAGAGGGTCCAGAGAATGTCAACTCTCCTATTATTTCTCATTCACAGACTTTGTTTTATTAGATTATTGGTCATTTGCTGTCTAATGTTCTAGCTGTCAAATGAATGGCTGTTTTTCATAGCCCTTAGCTCATGATATTTGTTTTAAGGCCTCTGCGAGGTGTGGTAAACTAATCCTTTTTACCTTTTTTACTGATTGAATAATGGTCAATTGTTTATTGCAGTTTGCACCATCACCTAATCGAGCACTTGAACGCAGAAATAGTCCTTAACACTATCACAGACGTTTCTATTGCCATAGAGTGGTTGAAGTCCACCTTCTTGTATATAAGAATATTAAAGAATCCCACACACTACGGTATGTGTGGCATGTACGATAGGGATATTCCATTGTCATCCAGCATCTGGCGAAGTGGACAGAGCTGTAGGTTGATGGTTCTCCATAATAAAATTCTCCGGTTAAAACGGAGAATTGAGAATCCAGTCATTTAACGATTGCAACTCAAATTTAGAATAATTTGCAAGCCCAAAGGGGTATCTCATCGTTAAAGATGTTTCTCTATGTCAAAACCTTTTCATGTGGTGTCTCTTCCAGCTTGAGGGCTTTTAATAAGTTTTGAAGTAAATGGCAAACACTGCTAAGAAGGAGGCAGATGGAAGTTCTATCTGTATTTTGATGACGTTAATTTCAGCAAATAGGCGGAGATTGCATTTGAAATAGACAACAAAATTCGCCTGTTGCCAGCTGTCATTGAATACTGATTATTTTTGTTTTCTTGTTCACCTTATATAGGGATACCTGAGGGACTTGAGAAAGAGGGTTTGGAACAAAAGTTACAAGGTATTCACAACAGCATTCCTCGAATTAGTCTATAATACTGTTTGATTTTTAGTTTTTGTTTCTTTCTGCTAGTTTTATTCTCTGCTTGTTTTTTTGTTTTGTTTTGCCTTGTTTTCCTAAGTTTTTATCGATCAATTCAAGTAATATTCTAGGCTAGTCTGGTGTGATATAGGCCTACATGGTACGAAAGAGGCTTGCGTGCTTCTACTTACGATAAGTAAGTCCTAGTAATTTTAGCCCTTGCTACCTTAGGTCTGTCGAATCAGAAATAATATCATGTATGTTTTTCTTTTCTTTCTCCAAAATTCTCAACTATTGATAATCCCAAACCATTCACTTCGAAGACAATCCAAGCTCCTTCGAGGAATATTTCGTAACTGAAATTTATTTATTTTGCAGATTTTTGTTTGAAGAGCCTCAACACACTGGAAAAGGCTGGGCTCATAAAAATGGACGACGGTTTTGATCTCAAGCCCACAGGTGGTGATGCAAACCATTCAGTCTTAATAGAATAGAGCACAGTATATGAATTTTAAAACACATTTTCAAAGTGAACCATAGTAAAAACGTTGGGTTAGGAATTGAGGCTGGAAGATAAACTAGTTTATGACAGAACTGGAGCTAAGAACGCTATCCACTTACTCGTAGAATTGATTCACATGTGACCTCATCGCACAATTTCAGAGCATTAATAAGGAAACAGATGATCTTCGGTGGGTTAATCATAATATGAGACCAAATTAGATAAAACATTTACTAGAAGATATATAGCAGCAATCGAAAAGAATTACTAATCATATAAGTGGAGTTAACGGTTTACGTTAGAGGTAGAGGGTTTCATTGACCTCTACTCCTTTTTTCTTTTGAAAGTGAAATATTGATAATGATGATATAATCTTTCATTCAGAGCCAGGTCGCCTGATGGCCAGATACTGCATTGCTTACGACTCCATGAAACAGTTTCTTAACATCAAAGGAACGGAAAGTCTTAGTGATATGGTGAGTAGTATTCCTATTCTGTCTTCGTGCAGCGTTGATCGAGAAACTTGATATTATTCTTGAAGCACTAAAAATATGGCGCAACGTAATGACTTTCAGGTTGATCTGGTGTCCAAGTGCAGAGAATTTTCCGATGTCAAGCTACGAATGAACGAAAAACGAGTACTAAATACTCTAAACAAGGACAAAAACAGCGAAAATGTAAGGTATAACTGTACTACTAGATGACCCTTTCGGAGCGTAAGTTTATATTTCATGCTCGAGCTGTCATTTACAATGGACAGCAAGCTTCAATGTTTGCTCTGTTTTATTTCGTTTTTTGTCGCTGTTGTTGTTCTTTTTCTTCACGGGAAGGTTTCCAATCAGTGGAAGAATCAAGTCAACGGAACAAAAAGTTAATTGGTAAGAAACTGAACAATGCATTTTTAGTTCCTCTTAAACCTTTCATGTGATTAATTTTGTTAATGAAATTCTAATAACACTTTTTCAGCCTTATACAAGCCACGCTTGGTTCACTTCCAATAGCGGAATTCTCCCTAAGCCAAGATGTTGCGGTCAGTTTGCACATTAGCCTTTTAATTTCACTTCTAATATCTTAAAAATCAATCCTCCGCACTGTCGGCCAAATATCTCTTATAATTTCATCTCTTATAGTTTGGTGTTCAATCGTCAATTTAATTTTCATTTCATTTTCTTTCTTCTCATCAATTTTTTTCCTGAAAATGTTTTGTTGTTGTGAGGTATAAAAAAAATTATTTTCGGGCAATCCTGGGAGTGAAGGGTCGAATGGTCGTAGTGCATTTTTTTAACCGTAACTCAAGCATACAATCCGTTAGATGGCTTGGAAAAATCGTTTTGAATCAGAAATATTACAATTAAAAGACCTTTTGTCTGAAAATGAAATGGTTAGGCAGGTTAACGTTTCTTTAAATCTGATAGTAGGAAACCTTTCATTTTGTCGTACTAACTTACAGTTTTTGTTTTGAGCAGAAAATCTTTCGAGCCGGACAAAGAATTACTCGCTGTAAGTAACGAAACATTTTGAGAAAATTTGCATATGTTAACACCATTCTCCCATTCGGTCTACTTTTAATAAATACTCCTCTCTGTAATAACGGATTTCTGGAGCTCCGTATCACGGAAAGTAACTTTCTGATGACTAATATCTCCACCACAAAAACGTTTCATAAAAACTCAATGACGGTTTTTCAATTTCCAGGTTTGACTGAGCTACAAATGTTGAATAATAATTTTATGTCACTTCAGAATTCAGTCATTCTCGCGAAGTGTATGAGAGCCAGGTAACTTTTGTTTGAAAGTTTGTGTTTTTGCTTTTCGTCTCACAACCGATTCTGTCGTTTGATTAGATTCAGTTTTCACAGAAAACTAATTTGTGCAGTAAACTTGAAAATTAAAAATCTGTTGTAGATTATGGGAGAATTCCAAGTTTGTCTCAAGGCAACTAGAGAAAGTTGGTATGTTATTCAGCTCTTGGTGCTTTGGTATCATTTTAAACATTGCCCTGTCCACACTAATGATATGACACATCCTAAAACGGTCTTGAGGGAAATTTAATGAGATCTGATGGCTAAATCACTATTTGAAAGCACTTTTGCTCTTCTTGTTTTTTTGTATCGGATAATCCAAATATTTAGACAGGGTGCAAAATATTTCTAGTAGGCAGTTAACTCTCACGCTCTGTATATTTAATTCTCTCTACTGGCCGCAGAATATTTCTTTATTTATTCAACCATTTTTAAAACATTTGTGATCCTTGCAATCTGATTGGCTCTCACTGGTGTAATTTATTCATAAATCGCACTATTTTATGCTATAAATCGGTTTTTTTTTCTCAGCCAATCAGACAGCTTTACTAAAACACAACAACCAACCAATTACAAAGCTTGTTTAGAGAAATCAATTTAATTGCTGGAAAATAAAATACATCTTTTGCAACTTTTTACAAACCAGCTCAATATACTGGATCAATAAAATATATGTAGAGACTAACGAAAGTTGACTGAATTTTGGGATTTTAAAATAAATGTAATAAAGTGGCAAATGAACTTCGTGTCCTGCAAATTTGGTCTGAGATTATACTTGTGATTTCAAATAACGCGTATAATTCCAGACCAAATTGCATTCCACTCAGTTCAATTACTGTACAATTGTAAATTGGTTTCGAAAATTTGGTGTCACATCAGGTGTCACCCTTCAACGGATAAGTTTGACAATTCTCATCACTTTTTTAAAAGGATAATGATTTTAAAGGGTGAAACTCAGCTTCCACTGACATCCCCTGCGGCAGTCTTTGTTTTAAATTTTTGTGAAAATTCTACTTTATTATTATTATTATTATTATTATTATTATTATTATTGTTATTGTTATCATTATCGTATCATTGTTATTGTTATTTTGTTATTAGGACCTTCTTTGTCGGCTATGATGGTCAACGCTGGGTTGACAACCCTCAAGAAAATTGAGGAAACAAATCCGAGAGAAATAGAAATGGTATAAAAATCATTGCAAGTTATTTTGGCAATCTCCTTTCAGTCATTCACTGCGCATATATCAATCCTCAACAATTCAATATTACGTGTTATTAACTTTTCAGATCGTTAATCGTCATCCACCTTTCGGAAGTCAGGTAGGTATGGTCGGCTTAATATATCTGTGGTTTATGAATAAAAACACTTGTGATATGCAATATATCTCTCCTTCATTACCTTTAGATTCGGGAAGCAGCTTCAACTTTACCAAAATATGAGGTTTCTGTTCAGCAGGTATATTATTTAGTCCATCATTACGGAATATATTTCTTGTGTTGTGTATTTTGTATTGTGTGTAGATGTGTGGGTTGACAATAGGCGTTTCTGGGGTTGATCAAACTAACTGACGATCGAGAGCTGGATAGATGCAGTAAAAAGAGTATTGGCTTTGAAATTAGTCGTGTAATGTAATGTAATTACGATATTTAGACAGGGTGGCCCAGTTCAGCTCAGAGCTGGTTTAAATGGGGGGCTGTATAAACAATGACATGGCAGACCACAACACCGGGAGCCACGTTCCTTACTCTTTGCGAGAAGTGTGTTTGTTCTGTATTGTCCCCTGCTAACCAGTAAAGAGAAAAGACAGGAGACGGGACCTACGGTTTATCGTCCTTATCCAAGAAGACTTAAATGTCTAACCATTTGATGATGTCAAATCAAAGGTAGTACATTCTCCTCAGTTATATGAAGACCCTGAGTGTTAATAGGGTCTAGTGGCAAATAAGACTTAACTATAAGGAGGTTAAAAGACTTATCCTCTCAATATGCTGAGAATTATTTTAAAAAAACCGAGTAAAGGCTCAAAAACATATTATTTTTAGGTTGCTTAGCCACGCCGACCATTCGTCAGACAGCTAATTTATGATTTGCCTCGACCGTCGTCACTGACAACCTAAAGCTAAAAATAACCTAGTCCTTGAAACTCACTTTCCAAACAATGAGCATAACCTACTTGACTTTCGAAAATATCAAACAATGGTTTATTCACTTCAAAATTTTCTATGTTAAAGACAGGGAAACATCAGCCAAATCGTTCCGAGATTGTAATTACAGTTACCATGATGAACTACATCAAGCGAAAAGATGCGATTGGGTCAGCAAGGAACAGCCACTTCTGCCTTCTGGTGATCGCTGATAATGAAAACAACGTGGTGTTCAAACAGAAATTAGGGTAACCAAAAATTTGTTACTCCTCAACACCTGAAACTTTATCCTCTTTTAGTTTCATCAACAGGAAAAGTAACAGTTGACTAAAGATGTTGATCATATATTTTGAGGTTGATGAGCTATCCACTGAACAAACCACTTTCATTGTTTTTACGACAGAGATTTTGTGTTTTTGAAAGAGGGATACTGGAGTAAGAGAGTTGACGTACAGCGAACGGCTGCTCAGTCTTCAGATTTGAACATACACCTTATCAGTCAAGAATACGGTACTGATACAGGAATGTATATATCATTATTGGATCAATATAGGAACAATATCAGTACCTGGGCAACTGCGCACCTACCCCTCCCCCAACTCAACATTAACCCTAACTTGTTTAAGTGATTGTTGTTGCGTTAGGGAAGGGGTAGGTGCGTAGTTGTTCAGATGCTAAAATTGATCCAAAATATAAATCATGTTCGTTCTTTGGTCAGTAATATTTCACAAAGTGCTTCATCTCAGTTTTATAATTTGTGGCTCAGCGACGTGCTCGATGTACTGTTTTCTCCTTCGCTTCCGATGATAAATGTTGCCGTAAAAATGCTTCTTGTGTTCGTCGTTTTTAATGTTATTGATCATTTTTTGTGAGCTGCATTGCCAGGTTTCAATCCTCTGCTAGCTATACTGTCTTAAATCGAGTCCTTTTTGAAAATTACACCAGATCTGTAAAACTCGATCAATGTTGCTGTTAGTGGTAACGTTCACTTTATAGAGAAAACTTACTCGGAATATAGGTAAAGAAATGATTTCCATTTTTTTGATGACTTGTAACTGGGACAAGCGCACAGTTTCATTTTATTTCTTTTCAGTTGGTGTGGACGTGAGTAAACGGTTCTCCCCTCAATACAGTGTTGGGCAGCCGTATCTTATCGTACGTATTAGTAAATTTTCAAATTATAGATCTGACTTTACTTTGATAAACCTACTCGAATTTACTAATCTTTTAATCTTAGCTGAATTTTTGATCTAACTAGTTATTTAGTTGGTTATAACGGTTAAACATTCTCAAAGCAGATTCACGACGTCGTATTCTAACTTTTATACCTAGTGAGAAATTGATAAGGTATTATACGTACTAATGCACCACAGTTTTTTTTTAATACTCTTTTTTCTATATAGTAATTTATTTCTTGAGCAGAAATCGAGGAAACTTAAAAGCCTGAATACCCCCAGTTTGTTATGTGTTATTTATCTACAAGATTTGTAATCGTCTGAATACAGATACTTTTTTCCATCAGACGAAGAATGAACCACAGGCATGTGCTCCCAAACTTGTGAAGAGCAATGCCTCTAATTCAGGTAAATTTTTGTCCTCGTTTTTCAAACTCTCTCCGTACTGTCGCGAGGAGGAAGTGAATGCAGCCTCGCACATCCGCAACGAAGCAAAATATATGATGTGGCTTAGGTCGTCCTAAGGACAACTTCACCCATAATGACGATCCCATCATTTGATAACTTAATACCATTCGGATCGTTACACATCAGATTTATTCACAAAATTAATCATTTCATTTTATTTACGATATGGCTGGACTTCATAAAAAGCACTGAAAAATTTAGATGCTAAGATAAAATTCGTTGAGATAGTGTGAATCGAAAAAAAAGAAAGAAAGAAAAAGGAAAGAAAAAAATTGACGATTGGAATCCACTTTAACTCTTTTTATGTCGGGCAGTCGTCTTGAATGAGCACATATAGATATGTTTTTGGAATAATTTGTACTACTGATGAAAACTCTACCTTTCATACTCTTCATAATCACCACTAAAATTTCAAATTCGTTGACTGGAATGCTAAATTTATAGACTGGAACACTGAATTTCTAGACTATCGAACATCTCCTGCGTGTTCAGTTCTCATACATTGCATTTCTTCCACATAAGAGTCGAATAGAAGCACCAGCACATCCAAGGCCGGAACGCCAAAGGTCGCTTGTAGTCATCGTTGCCTCAACAAGGAAGTATATCTTTTGAGAGTTAATCATACCTATATTCCTCTTCACAGACGTTTAATTATTTGCAATTAAGGTATCGGTCGGTGTCAGTCTGTATCCATCAGTCATTTCGTGGAAATAGTGAAAATTAGGGATATTAGTCCACCATCAGTAGCATTCTTTTGTAAAACTTTGTGATTAATTCTCTTCGGGTCATGCACGTTTTGCGCATTGATAGGCTTATAATTTGATACATTTACATTTCGTATCAATTAAAACTTCCTTGACAAAGCACACATGTGGCCATGAATGCTGCAAACAAGGCGTCAGCTCTAAGACAAGGAGAAGGAAGTCACAGGTAAGTTGACTTGAATGACTCTATTTGTTTTGGCTCTTTTATTTTTGTTGTTGTTGTTTTTAATTTTTTTCAATATTCTTTTCCAATCCAACAAGACTGGGCGTATCATTGCTTGCACCAACTATCTTGCTCCAGCCAGTCCTCGGCGTATATTTGCATGTGTGAATTTTGGCAATGGTTAGCGGGAGTTACATAGGGTCACTCTTTGCGCAGGTCTTCAATAGATAGTTCCATAGAAAGCGTAAGAACCTCTTACAAGTGAGAACAGCCTTAACGCCTTAACAACTTAAGCTGATGAAGTGATCATTAACCATCAGCTTGTATCATGACTTGTTTAGGTGGAACAGAATAAAGAACCAAATTGTTCACCATTGATGAGTACACCAACTATAGGTAAACCGCTTTAAATTGATCCTTAATGATTTGATTAGTTATGGACTCTCATTAAAAACATTCTTAAAAACGATTATTCATGGTGAAATAAATTACTTACTGCACTTTGCTCTGTAGATAATCAAAGAAAAATTACCGAGGTGGATGAACACGGAAATATGAATTCCTTCCTGAAAAACCTTCACATAAGAGCGCAAGCCATTCCTGGCACGCCAGCCAAACGCTTAAAGGTAACTGCCTGTACTAGTTACCCACTGTTCGACGCATAATGAAACATACATGAGGGTTATTTTATAATATGAAGATCCCCTTGCATTGTTGTCTGAGTTAACTCAAAAGTCTCATCATGATCATTGCTCTAAAGCCATCGGCGCCGGAGACCGTTGGAGCCAGCTATGTGGATTTAACACTGGACAAAAGATTTGGTTATACGCGCAGGATCCCTTTTCACATCTGTGAAGAGAGAAGCGAGGAGACTGTGGTTGGTGAGAAAGAACATACGGGAAGCCTTTGTTGGGAAGAAGTTGACTGGCATTTAAGAAAAAGAGAAGAACAAAGGGATACCAGTAAAGATGAAGGTATCATTGTGTTTCATTGTCTCGTTTTGAGGACCAATATTCGCGTTTTTGTTTCTTTCCCTCCTAATGTAAGGCCATAGGATTTTACTCAATCATTTTTTAATGTGATCTAATACGTACGTTCTTTCTGACGCAAACTGAATTTCATAGGGGTGTAAAAACCAAGAATACTACACACCCTCCCTAAAATTTGGACGACCTCGTATACGGACGTTATTGTGCTACGGAGTGTCATTATACCACAGGGTCCCCTGGTCAGTTGTAAAGACAACAATTCGCTTACTGGGGCCACTTTTACTACACGGATGTCTAGTGCAAAATCGTTGGGGAACAAATAATGTTATCTTAAAGGAAAAATTAAAATGTTTCACCATTTCTTTAGATCAGTTTGATGATGAGCTGCCTTGCTTTAGCTTGAATGAGCTATGGAATGACGATGAATTAGCCTTGACTTTAAATGTTGAAAGCGATCCTCACACCAGCCCACAGGAGCTGCACTTGCGGCAAAAGAGGAACAAGTCTTTGCACCCTCTTTTCTTCGACGTGGCTGCTCCAGAAAACCGCCAGAAGATATCAGTTGTCGAAAGGCCGATGCCAAGAAGCTCTCGATTCAAAGCAGAATCTAACGCGAGAGTAAACTCATGTGCTCCCTTATTTCTAGGCAGCAGTCAATCTAATAGGCACTTGAGGAGAATTCCCCTGCCTGTACTACCACCCCCACCCACCCCTGAAGCAGAGGATTTTGATCTAACAGGTTACTCCGGGTCCGCAAGGGGTACATGTAGCAGTTATTGGAATAAAGGGCAACTAAATCTCACTAGCACAGGAAGAATGAAACAGTGTTCTAGGCTGAGATCGCCATCGGAGGACCCCTATGATGTTCTAGAGGCAGAAGATTGGAATATCCTGCCTGTTGTTTCTAAGCCTGAAGGAGAGACCAACGCTTTAAGCTCGAAGAAGAAGACAGAGAATGAAACTAATCTTTTAGGCTCTCAGAGTTCAACCACGTTGGATACACCATCAATGCAAGGAAGCAGTTGTTTACAGAAAGAGAACGTGATAGCAGTCGAAGATGAGTGCACACAGCGATGTCAGCAAAGGTATCGTATTTGCATTGTACTGATTCGTTTGTGAGCCAAAACTAAAAGATGCGCGTAGAAAAATGAAGAAATTGTCTGAAAGCATGAACGCATTATTCTCGTGAAGGAGAAAATATGAAATAAGGAAGCATCTCTAACTCTAATCCGATGACATTTATATTTTATCATTGCCACACGTGAAGATGTTTGACGATTCTGTAAAATCAACTTTTAACCTTTTTTCTTTTATTTTAGTCCCTGTTCTGCCTCCTTCTTCTGTTCTAAGTCTTCTGAGAGGTAGGTTTCCACTTGCAAAGGCATATAGTAAGCCACACGCTTCTGCAACGTCTGTATTCATTAAAGATCAAAGTTGTTAGGCCTAAGCTATTATGATAATCTTTGAAATATTAACTGGGTTTAATTTTATCAATAACATGACTTCCGGTTACCGATTTTTTTGACCTAAAGAAATGAAGGTATACATAGCAAAATATTTGACTTCGTAATGGCGAGCAGTGTTGCTTTCCGACCCATAACTACCCCGCTTTTACCCATTACAGCTGTGAACAAGACTTCGAAGAGAAAGACGCATTTGCAGGGATTTTCAATGGATTGTTATAGACTGAAAATGGAAAATAAGACGGGGGAAGAAAAGGGTTCGTGTGAACTCTACTATCAAGACAATGAGAAAGTATTGCGAACATTTTGTCAACAAATAACCACATTTCAAAGTTATCTCGAAATTTTGAGTTGGACCGTGATAAAACAGTTAAATTGGATTTTTCAGTTTGATGTCAGTTTGTATTCTTTCGCAGACATCTACTAATTTAGCTTGATTAGATTGTAACCGGTTATCTTTCGTATTTTATTACTTTCACCAAATGTGTCTTATGCACCATAACAGCAACAAATCCTACGAGGTCTAACACGGTCCACCTGCAGCCTTGACAGTCACGCCACTCGAGGAAATAAATATTTATTACTTTGTCTCTTCATATGGGTTTCAAGGGGCTGTAGCATCACTGTGTTATCCACTCTTGTGCTGGAAATAACTCATTATCTACCTCTTCACCGGGTAACAGGGATTAACGAGTGCAAACCTTGAGTAGCTGTTAACATGCGTAAAGCCCGCTTCTTAATCGGTTGCAAAGGAGCTCTCACGTTCTGGAGAAATTGTAACTACGCAAGAAAAACTCGGGAGCCCTCCCAGCCCGCGCTGAAAAAATGGAAAGCAATCAACTTAAAGAGCGAATGAACCAACCTAGCAAGTGTTGAAACAAATTATAGGTTTCACGTGTTACAGGTGCAAATATGCCAAAATAGGAATTTTCAAGGACACCAGAGAGCGACTAACACACATTCAATGACGACCGAAGTGAAATTCTGCAACAGAGCATGTTATATATGTTTTGTATGCAAGTAAGACTAACGTATCTATGACCAATGCGTAATTCGCTATCTTATCGTTAAATATTAGCACCTTCTTTAAAAGGACTGGAATTCTCTTAAATATCCATTAAATTAGAGCCTTACACTTTATATACACTTTATAAAGATTTAGTAACCAGGGAACGGAACCGTTCTACACCTTTAAAAATATACTCATCTTACAATGAATTTGAATATTTTACAGTTCCCATTGATGCAAGATGGTAATTATTCTACCCTTAGCTACGGTAACTCAAAGTCTATAAATATAATTTGACGCCAGACAATTACATATTTGAGAAGATCCATAATAAAATGTTAACTTTCAAGATCTGAAAGTGAACTCATAACAATACAAATTATGTTGGCTTGTCAGGAGAATTTGGAGTTACACACAAACAAAACAAAACCCCTAGTTGATCAGTTTCTAAATTCTCATTGCCCGGCTGCTTGTTACTGGAGAATACAGGTACCGATCACTTCTAGGAGTATAAAGGTTAAAACAGTTACGCCTGGTATCAAAACTTTGAATACTTTCCATTACGTATTTCCCTTTCAAAAATGTACTTTTTCAAAAAATACAGTTACAGTTTATTATATTATGTTATATAATTCTTATTTTTATTCAATGATTAAGTTATAATTATTATAAACTTTTGGTCAGCCATATTGCTCTTAAGACTGAGATTTATGTGAGCCAAACGGGAAGATCATTTTCGCACGATGACTGAGACTTTCATACTGTCATAAAAAAAGGTCCGTTTTGCTGTCTAACCTTATCGGTAACGAAGAAGATTTAAATAAGGGGGTTTTAATTAAAATTTAACGGTAGTTTTATATAAGGGTCTGTTCCCAGTCACTGCTATTCTCAAAATTTTCCACTCAACACATCGTTTTTGACACTTTATAAATAAGGCAGTCTCCTTAGTACCTGTAATCCGGTCTACTCACGCGGCACACCTGTAGTTTCTTGAATACCGTTGTAAAAAGAGAGTTCAACGGCTAACTTCGTTTGCTATCCGAAGCACTATTAACAGCAAGTCCGTTGTTAAATCCCTGTCGAGTTTCCTTCCTCCCTTGAAACGCGTCCATTCGCTTAGCGCCCTTTTCCGACATGTTTCCGTAGAGAATCCTGCTTCTACTCGGCTGCTTGTTTCGTTGAGGGAAAGGTCTGAAGTTCTCGGGATACTTGCACCTCTTGTCTTCCTCCAACAGCCAAGAACTGTTATTGGAGTTATAACCAGACCCGTGATACGAGCGGGTGTATACTCGTCCCGTGCCACCGAACGATACTGCGCCTGCGTCAAGAACAGCAGGGCTGTTTTTGTCCACTACCCTCACGGGTTTTGGCTTATCATTGTTCGCCGCAGTTACTTTTAATGATGAAGATTCAACCACCGTAACTTTTGTGGATTTACGACTGGCATTCAAACCAGACAGAAGCGGTTTATTTTGCGTTGGTTTGTCAGTTTCTAACGACGATACTTCACCATTTAATCCAACATGTTGAATTTTACGCGTGTTTGGAGTAGTTCGCTTAACATTTTTGGCCGGTTTCTCCTCAGAAATTTGTTCTTTCTTCTCTTCTGGAATTTTCTTCATAGAAATCTCCTTTGTCCTATCAGTTTTAACGCGTTTTTCACTCGCCTCTGGAGCCTTTTCCTCTTCTGAAAGCTGTTTGGTTTCTTTCTTTTCCTTCTGATCACCTTTGAATAACTCATTCAAATGCTGCATGCTTTCCTTCTCATAAGCGTTTGGTTTCACTTCCACTTTGGTCTCAGTCTTAGAACTGACCACATCTCCTACTGATAACCGTTCACTAGCATTCGTTTCGTTCTCCTTCTTGACTCCGAAATGACTTCGAGCAGTCTTAGTCTTTTTCTTAGTTGCTGATACAAACAGATGATTAATAGCAGCAGGAATGCTCTTGCGCTTTTCAGATTCCTGTATGTTCTGTACTGTGGCCTCTGAAAACACCACTACAGCATTCTGCTGCATCTGCCTCATCCTTGCATACTGCTTCTGTAAGAAGGTCATCTCCTGATGAACACGGCGTCCTCTTGAACCAAACTGCTTCGTGGTATATGGTAGGGGAGAGTAACCATCAGTAGCAAACACGCCCGGACTAGCAGCTGCAATGTCATTCAAATCCTCGCCACCGGCACCTAGCGCTTTAGTGCTATTTCCAGGGGCAAATTCCGAGAACGGCAACAGAGCTCCTAAGCAACCGATCCCTTCCAAGTCATCGACGTCGTCTTCTTCATCGCTAGAACCGCGTCCTAGTGCTGATCGCTGACCTCGATCGCCGGTAGCGTCTGAAAACGGGTTGATATTGTACGTGTACTGTTCTCGAAGTTCTGCTAACCCTGGTAAGGGAAACGGAGCCAAGGCGTACACCTCCTACAAATAGCAATATAGTTTAATTTTAACCATTTTAACGCAACACTTCCGCGCTAAAAATTGGTATCATTTAGAATAGTGCACCACAAGGCGATTCTTTACGACAATTTTTCAATCGACAACGTCTAGCAAGGTTTTGAATGCGATGCGAATCAGAAATCGATGAATCCAAATCCAACAATTGTCGATTTAAAAACTTCCAAAAGTGACATTTACTTCTTTCAAGGAAGAATACGGTGTTCTCCCTTATTTTAAACACAGAGTAGAAACCCAATTGTGGGCCACCGTAGTTTGACGCTTTTTCGCCGGAGAAAAAGTCTTCAAAAAAGTGAGAAACTTCAATGACGGTGAGTATACTCTTAAAAATTAAAATCGGACCGTAAGCTAAATGTTTATACCTGCATTAACGTTTGACAATCAATGACATTTCCAGTCAGCACATCATGTATTAGTACCCCCATTGTGCTGTAAAAATCATCAGAAGTTTCCACGTGTTCAAGGCGCCTGATGGAAGAAAAAGTGTCCAATGTAATAAGCTGTATCAATATTTTGAGTCAGACAGCTAATATCAGAGGCGTTCGAGTGCGCAGCTGTTTTGGTTTAAAGTGCTGTGTTAACACAATGCTACATAACCTTTTAGAGGAGGAGAATACATCTTGGTGGTTGTATGACATTTAGAAAAAAAAATCATAGGGAAAGGAAGTATAACAAAACTGTATCCCTATCAAGTCACCATAACACTCCCTGAAAAGTCAAACTTTCCACCCGACATGTGGTTTGGAAAGTGCTCTCGGTATGGGACTTGTGCGCGTGCGATTCCTTTCATTCTTAACGCCCGTCAACCGGCATAAATTATGTCTCTTAAACCTCCGCAAATACTCTCCCGTAAATGGAAATAACAGAGATCCCCTGTTCTTGCCTGAAAAGGGCAAATTAAAGTAGAATTTTACAGTTCATCCCAATATTATTTCAATTCGTTCTACATTTTGGTTTGCATGAAGGATAATCGGAGATTCTTTGCCTTCTTCTTTTTTTTTTTTTTAGATAAATTCATATTAAATTATGACAGGATAAATATTTTAGCTAACAGGTACATGTTTACACATGCACCTACTTTGTACTTGACTGACCGGTGGACGTGAGGGAGTGGGAGGGTGACTGAACTACAAACCTACACATAAATCTTTACTGAATACAATTAAACCTAAATAAACCAAGAAATAGTTCGATACATACTCTCCAAGTTTACCCCAAATAGCAACAGCAACTCTAAGAAGCACCTCTGAGCCCTCCAACAAGATGGAGTCCCATACACGCAAAACAGTCTCCTCCGGCAAACAAGTGGCAAACAGTGTCAGAAACCACTGCATGGTGAAAACATTAATTAAAGGAGGCTCGTACATGGCATTGGAACCATTCTGTGACAAAGCTTGTGCTTGTAAGCTATCCAGGTGTTTTGATAGCCTCTCTAGCTTCTCCCTCATTAGGTCACGCAAGACAGCCATGTCGACAGAAAGTGCCCGCAGGTTATTTGCAAAGTAGTTTGTGGGAAGCACGTGGTCGATGACATAAACCATAACCTATAAAAAGAAATTGTAGATTGTAACATTTCACTACAATTTACTTTCTAAAATGCTAACTTTTTCAACCCTGTCACTCTTGTACAGGGACATCAAGTATTGGTCTCTCCCAGCAGTTAATGAAAAGGTTAATTTTCAAAGCTCTGGAAAAACTGATAGTTCATGTATCCTTGCAAACATGTCGATAAAATTAAGATGGAAAAGGGTAAGGAAAACCTTAACAAAACAAAATAAAAACTATTAGCAATTAATTATAGATGTACCTTCAGTGCATCTTCCTCATTTCTGTCCATGACTTGAAGAATTAATGCTGCGATGACATTGAATCCTTGACAGTAACCCACAGCCTTGTTGCGTCGGGCATAAGCTAAAAGAACGCGTTTTAGTGATGCTCTTTCCTCAGGAGTATCCTGACCACAAAACCAGCTGCAGCCAGTTCGATGAAGATCCTAAACAATATTGTGTGGTAGTTATCATTAATGATACAATATGTGGGGTACATGTACATGTGACATCATCTATCAGCCACACTGACTTGTGGGCATACACTAACAATACTGCTTCACTCTGAATCATTGAATGACACATTAGGACTGCAATCAAAGTGCTCTGTGAGCAAACTCGTGAATTGACACATGATTTTTTAGATTATGTTTAATGTTATCTGGTTTAGGGAATTTTGTGGTTGATTGTCATATCTAGAGTACGAGCAGTAGTTCAGTGTTCGCTAATGTAGCAAAGAAACAAAGTAACGTTGGGATAAGAAGGCATTACAATTGAAATGATCATGCTATTACATTTGACATGGTGGATGATGTCATGTGTTTTAAACGTCTATCATTTTTGTTTCTGGTTCAAAAGAAAAGGTTGGAAGTAAATGTGGGTGAAAAGTGAAATTTACTGTCTTTCGTTGTAAATATTAGAAAATCAAGGCAATACTGTCTTAATGAAAACATTAACGATTCCCTCTTTATCAAATGAGACAAACGGGAACGAGTTTTGAGTGATATAACTAAGCCAAGCCTGCCACCGTCATTTTGGATCTCCGCCTGGGTAGATTTAGGTCACGTGCTAGGCAACGTATGATCAATAACAAGATAGAATTTCATTTCAGGCCTATTTATCAATTTTGTGGTGTGTAACTTTCGCATTTTAGTACGTTGTTTGTATGTTGAATCTTCAAATTGTCTTGAAACTTAAAAGAAAATTGTTCTTTAAAAATTCACTGAAAATCGGTAGCTAAAATTGTTTGTTTAGGTGTTATCTGATTTTCGTGTTAACTTGTTATTTCGTCAGTCGCCGGCATCTTCTG